TTCCTTCAACAACTTCTAACTACAGTAATGAACTACAGTATGAGGGATCGCACAGTGGAACTCACTGTCACCAAGTACAGTAGGGGCATTATCATTGGATAGCGTTAAACAACGTTTAGAGTTAGATGTTCAAGGGTTGGGTGTAACAAGTCGATCGGTGTAATGTAGCCAGCTGCTGCCGCACCACGTGCCTGCGAAGCTGGTGTGTTATGCAAAGGGCAGTTATACCGGCTATACAGATACAGAAGCTGGTGTGTTACGCCAAAGGGCGGTGATACCGACTATACAGATACAGATTCAGTGTTGCAATGTAAAAAAGAACACCATTTGCTCAAGTTCACGGACACTACTGGAGGAGGGAGTAAAAAAAGATCACCGATAGAAGCAGTAGAGGAGTTTGTTACAGAAGTTATGGACCTGAAACTATACCTGATTCCATAGATGATGTCCCAATAAACAGACTCCACGGCTCCACATCAAATTATTTCAAAGGCTCCCACTGAGCAGGGAAGCCTTGACATAAAAAGTCATCCTGACTGCAATCTATCCACAAATCCCTCACAGGATTTGCAACAGACAACCGCAGACCGAAATGTTTCTTTCAAAAAGGTCAGACGATCCCCTCTGTGGCGGCATCAAAGGAAGGATGAGGACTGACTTCCACATAAAAGAATTCTATTAACTGTTTTGTGTGACTGTCTGTAACACTGCTGATGAGCTTCTTTCTCCACATTTTCATGCTGGAATATATATTGTAGACTTGAAAAGTCTGACAGGACATGCAAAGGTTTCATTGTTATACTCAGAGGCAGGGACATACATGTAATTCATAAAAAAATATCAGGTCATTTAAAGACATCTATTTTAAGCTGAATTTTGTGTCAACTTCAGTTGAAAATAAAGATGATTTCTGTACGAATTGTGAAGACTTTATGGCTCCCATGGTGGTTTGGGTGGCAGAGGGGGAGTGGCACCCGACATTAGACGTAAAGTAAGTCAAGAGGGACAGATAGCTTCATCCTGAAGTCAAATTTGCATTTTGAAAAAGATTTATGAAGGGTCACAATAAAAGAAACACACCTAAGCTCCTTGAAAAACAGTGTAGGGGGCTAAAATCACAACATAGGAGGTCCAAATCACAGCATAAGGGGTCCAAATCACAGCATAAGGGGTCCAAATCACAGCATGGGGGGTCCAAATCACAGCATAGGGGATCCAAAGCAAAGCTTAGGGTGGCAAATCACAGCATAGGCGGTCTAAAATACTAAATCACAGTATAGGGGGTCCAAATCACAGCATAGGGGGTCCAAATCATAACATAGGAGGTCACTACACTCAAACAGCCTACTAGTAGCAAGATCTATAGGCCCAGTCCTCAGAGCTGTATCTGCAGAGATCTGTTGCCCCCCAGCTTGTGATTAATGCAGCGAGATTAGAAGAGACACTTGAAAGACGAGGTGCGAGCGCGCGGCCGTACACTCGTGACCTCCGGGCTCTGATTACGACCCTCTCCTGGTCTGACCAGTGTGCGCGGTGACCTGAGGGTCACGCAAGTACTCGCCGCTCTGCCAGAAGTCTCATCTATAGGGAATCAGTGATGATAAATGACTGACAGGGTCTATGCTACTAGACAGACGGTCACAAACTTAGGTCAGAAGTTAGCGGCATGATTCTGGCTTGGAGGGTCAAGAGAGCTGTTCGCTGCTATTCACCGCTCTGCCAGAAGTCTCATCTAGAGAGAATCGGTGATGAATTATGACTGACGGTGGTCTGTGCCAGACAGACGGTCACAAACTTGGGTCAGAAGTTAGCAGCGTAATTCTGTCTTCAAGGGTTAAGAGAGCAAATAAAAAAAATTTCCTGCAATTCACTGCTTTGCCAGAAGTCTCATCTATGGAGAATCTGCAATGAGTAATGACTGACAGTGGTCCATGCAAGACAGACGGTCACAAACTTAGGTCAGAAGTTAGCAGTGTAATTCTGGCTTTGAGGGTCAAGAGAGCTATTCTCTGTTATTCCACGCTCTGAAAGAAGTCTCATCTATAGAGAATCGGCGATGAGGAATGACTGATGGGGTCTGCACTAGACAGACGGTCACAAACTTGGGTCAGAAGTTAGCAGCATAATTCTGGCTTCGAGGGTCAAGAGAGTGATTCCCTGCCAGAAGTTTCATCTCTGTATATACACAGAGAACCAGTAATGACTGGTACTAGTGGTAGGGTCCATGCTAGACAGACGGTCACAAACTTGGGTCAAACCTGGCTTGCCTGTCAGTAGGCAGTAGTTCAATGGAAATGTATCTCCTTCACCTGTAAACATACACACATGTGGACACATCCTTGTCACAACAACGCTTCAACACAAATGACAACAAACAACCAGGAATGAAAGTTGATCACAAGGTAGCCTGGGTGCCAGACTCTACTGTGAGTGAGTGATAATCCCTTCGGCCAGATAAGCCATAACCCTGAGTTGGGACCTTGGCTCTAACTATCTCCTCGCTAGGGCTTGGCGGATACTCTTGGTAGCAGATATTAGGGTTTCTCTAAAAAAAAACTAACGCTTATTAAATGCCAGCGTCTGGCACCCAGGCAAATCACAAGACAATCTTCATAAACAATCTTCATACACAACGCAACACCTCTGCACAGTACATGGCCAAGTGGATGGGAAAAGGGCAAATAGTAATTTGCGAAGCATAGGAAAGGGATTAGCGTCTGTGGTCTGTCTGGAAAGGGCACCTTCAGAAACCTCGTGGCATGTTAATTGGGCACAGGTGGTGAAGGATCAGGATACTATCTAATGAAATCTTACGTTCTCTAATTTGCATATTGAGGCTTGGCTAAAAGACTCGCTCCTTGTTGTACACACATGCATTAGGCATCAGATTTTTATGGGAAATGGAAGTAGAAAATCAGCCAATTTGAGGAAGGTGAAAATGCAAGGCAAAGTGCATGTGATAGAGGGATTAGAGCACATGATGGTCACGCAGTGCTGTTATCTATAAGGTATTAGGGGACAGGCTGGTGGAAATTCATCTTCTAGTCTTGTGATGTCTATGTGTGAACATGATACTTAGTACATGTTGAGGCATTCAGTTTAATAAAAATCAAGAAATGGTTGCTTAAGCAATGAAATTGAAACCAGCATCCATAAATTCAGCACCAAGGATAAAACCAAAAGATTTCCTTAAATTTTCTACTTCCATTTGATTACAAGAATTGGTTGTTAAATTTTGCCACATGCTTCAAGCAACAAAATTGAAACTACCATCACTCAATTCAGCACCAAGGAAAAAACCAAAAACTTCCTAAAATCTTCCTCTCCCTTTTGATCAAACTTTCTTACCAAGGAATGAAGTGTTGTTTTGAGAGTACATGTATCTGCCTGTCTGTCTGTTTGTGTGTGTGTCAGTCAGCATGAAGTCTGCGACCTCTGATTGACTTGTTTTTTGCTTTGCTGCAGTAAAACTTCCAAATAGCTTAACCGTCTCCGTTCAATTTCCAACGAGGAGCACCGACTGCCCATAAAAAGCCAACAACCCCACAGCAAATGGTCCGTAATAATAACATAGAAGGACACCATCAACTTCCTACCAAACGCAGTTCATCATTTCACAGTCTAGATATCTGATGGCATTTGCAGAATAGATGTATGCACTTGCCACTGCTACCGGCGCCGTGAAAAGCACGGTTTGAAGTCCATGTGACAGCTATGAAAATTGTGCGACGATTTTAACCACGTCTTGTTCATCCGTCAAATCCAAAGCCACCAATTCTATCCCCCGGGTGATAAACTTGAGTTTGATGCACCTCAGTGCGTGGCTATATATGACTTTGGCCCTGATACGTGACCACTTACGGCACGCTTCGGTCTAAAATTGCCGCTTAGACGGCCGGTGCTCTTGGACCGATGCCCTCCCGTCACTCTATTCCAGTCCCATCAGGCTGAGGAATGCCGTTCGGTTCCAGGGCCAGGCTGAGAAGCCCCCCGGACATGCACAAATGGAGGAGTTTTCCCTGGGAATACTAAGTGCAGAAGCTGCCTGGGGAAAGCAGGCCATAGCATCTGGGAGCTTTGGGAGAGACGTAGCCCAACTAAAACTGCACTTGTTAACAGCCCAAGCAACTAATGTTGGCCCTCTCAGCACCTTGCAGTAATGGACGTTGTGTAACAAGTTTGGCAGGACTTTGAAATGTCTTTACTACATTACCACAGTCTGAACCTTTATGTGCTTTCAAAATTTGTATTTTAAGTAACGTAACTTCCAAGTTCCAACAAATAACAGTGGAATTTTCCTACAGATATGTAAATAAAAGGCTACTACTGAAATAACATTTAATTTATTGTATCAGTTAAGATGTCCTATAAGCATTGAGACAATGGTAAGGGCCCTCCATCCACTTTTAGAAATAACCATTTTTTCTAATAATTCCTCTCTGTAGAATGATTATATATTTACCTAGACAAGACTTAGGTAACATACACGTGATTGGTTTGCCCTGTGCCTATCCAAATGTCACAAATGGTACCTGCTATCAGGAATATATTGTATCCATTGTGAAGGCAACAATATATATATAACAGAAGGAGCACTCTAAGGACATAAGTACTGGTAAGTAACTTAGGCTATAATTAACGACCATGACCAGTGCTCATTAATTTTTTATCACCTTCTGACAGTCTTCAGGGTGATAAATGGATTTCCATGACAAGAAAGACTAAGGACTCAACTTCAATGATAACCAGTCTCTCAAAGAGATGGATGTTATGAAATAGCAAAGGATGCACCACTAATAAGCGGAGAAGAGTTATAATAGTATCATATCAATTATTCATATATTCCAAAATTAGTCAAAAACATGTACACAGCAAAGAAATACATGTACTTACTAGTATAGCAGATGAAATTTTAGACCCTCTGAAACACTGTTTCATACATTCTGAGGAGCAAATTTTCTTTTTAAACTACTTCTTATGATCAAAATATTGACACTCACCTGGTCCACCTGCTAAGCAGGTTCCCAAACTGGTGAAGGAATGGCCTGCTTCAAACTCGGAACTGGTCGATAGTCTCTGCAATGGACAAAAGCAAAAAAAGGATTGACAATCTTTATATTCACTTCAGCTATAAACATAACAGTAAAAACCCTGTTTGCTGACCTTGGACAATAAAAACTGTCATTAAGAAATTTAAAGCTGGTGTGTTACGCCGAAGGGCAGTTATATAGCCTAGAATGGACAAAAGTAAAAAAACATTGACAATCTTTATCTTCGGCTATAAACATGACAGTAAGAACTTATCTGTCTGCTGATCTGGAACGATAAAAAACTGCCATTGATTAAAACATGGTATCTTTAATGTGCACTGCTATTAGCAATGTGCAACTTACAATACTACCAGGTAATAAAAGCAAGACATAAATTCTCTATCTGCTCATCATGACTATAACTTTATCTTATTCAAAGAAACAATGTCATCTGTACCTGTGATTCAAAACCAATTCTCACTGCACTCAAAGATTGATTATAAGGCTATGCCGTACTAAGTACTGTTTGAGGTCCCTTAGTTTATACACCACAATCTAAATCACAATCTGAAAACGGTTCCATCGTGATGCCCATCAGTAACTCCAATCAGCCTTGCTCAGAGGCAATTTCAAACCTGGAACGATGCCTACAATTGAACAAAAAGACTTACACTGTACATGTAGGTAGTTTGAGGTCCCTTCGTACCAAATGTCACAGTAAAAAATCACTGGCAATCTGAAAACCATTCCAGACTTCAATCAACCTCAGAGTAACAGTCCAGAGAGGTAAGAGGGACATAATTTCATCCCAAAAAACACTAACACTGTACATGTATGTAGTTTGAGGTCCCTTCGTACAAAATGTCACAGTGAAAATCACCAGCAATCTAAATCACAATCTGAAAACCATTCCGGACTTTCAATCAAACTCGGAGTAAGAGTCCAGGGAGGCAAGAGGGACATAATTTCATCCAAAAAAACACTAACACTGTACGTGTAGTTTGAGGTCCCTTCGCACAAAATGTCACAGTGAAAAATCACCAGCAATCTAAATCACAATCTGAAAACCATTCTAGACTTCAATCAAACTCGGAGTAACAGTCCAGAGAGGCAAGCGGGACATAATTTCATCCAAAAAAACACTAACACTGTTACATGTATGTAGTTTGAGGTCCCTTCGTACAAAATGTCACAGTGAAAAATCACCAGCAATCTAAATCACAATCTGAAAACCATTCTAGACTTCAATCAAACTCGGAGTAACAGTCCAGAGAGGTAAGAGGGACATAATTTCATCCAAAAAAACACTAACACTGTACGTGTAGTTAAATGTCACAGTGAAAAATCATGGGCAATCTAAATCACAATCTGAAAACCATTCCGGACTTCAATCAAACTCGGAGTAAGAGTCCAGGGAGGCAAGAGGGACATAATTTCATCCCAAACATCGGTGAGAAGAGGGAGGATCAGCTGGCAACGACTGATGAAGAGTATCCCAGCAGGCAGATTACATCTGTTGGAGTAATTAAACCATTAATAATTCTGCGACCAGCTGAAAGAAAGCAGTTACGTTATTCTATGGTAGAATCCTTGGGGGAGGGGCTGAATTATAGTAAATTAATAGTAGGAGGGGACAAAATTATTTGCCAGTTATTTGTCAGACCCAAAAGCGGTACAGTAGTAATTATTTGTAGAAAATATTGAAACTTTAAGTAAGCGGTACAGTGGTAAATTATTCGTGGAAAATATTGAAACTTTAAGCGGGATAGTGGTAAATTATTTTAAAGCTTCTGAAATGCTGTTTCCTGCATCTTTGCTGGGAGACTACTCTGAGTAAGTTTAGTCTCATGTCATCTCTTTGCATATCTTTACACACCAATTTTTTGTCCATCAAAGATGATGAATTGGGCAAAACTTTTGTTGTGATGAGCAGCAAAATTTCATCAAAATGACAGAATGACAGACACTGCCACTGCTACTTAGTAAGAATCTGGCTTATTCAAGACTGTCCATCATATTGACTTCACGGATCAGTCTTTAATACTGTAACACTCCAACTCTTCCGGACATCTTACATACATGTAGGAAACATAGATGTGATATGCAGGGCTTGAAATTCATTTCTGGGAATAGATGCACTAGGGCACCCAACTTAAAAAAACTGGGTGCACAGAAAATTGTTTGGGTGCACCATATAGAATTTTAGCAAAAACTAATTATGTTTCACTTATAAAGAAAAATACTACAACAAGGATTTTCTTGTTTTTTCTGATGCTTACATGTCAACAGTATGCTGTATTACTACAGTAACTATATATGCAAACATCTCTACATACGTAAACCTACAAAAATGTCTGTGCACCCACAGAAAAAAAAGGGTGCACGGCTCCAAATTTGGGTGCACTAAGGTGCACATGCACCCAGTATTTCGAGCCCTGTATAGGAAACATAGATGTGATGTGTGATGCTGTCTTAAGGCTACGAGCAACACCTTGCCATGCAGACACAGAGTCTGCCACAAGTAATCTCCGCTAAGCCCCTGTGTTCCCTGCACCAGTCGCGACACCATCTACATCTATGTACTGTTCAAACAATATTAGGTTTGATGTCAAAGTAAGTTCTTACTGGCAATCCATCTGTCAAAAAAACTTTTAAAGTTATCAGTAATAACATCTCTTGCTATGCAGTGCAGTGTGTATGAACTTTACTTTGTAGCAATTTACCTTCATCGCTAGATGTGAATGGCCGGGATATTAGATGCTTAAAAAATTATTTCATATAATTTGATACTTCGTAATTCTGTGCAGCCATCTGGTCCAACATCACCATTGGGGTAATGGAAGTGTGCAAATTCACTAACAGATTCAGACTGAGCTTGAGTTATTAACACGATGTTCTTATATTATGTATTATAGTATTGTACCTTGTAACCAGTTAACATGTTATCTTTATTTCAGGTCTTGTATTTATAGTAGATTTCTTATTTCATGTTTGTCTGCACGTCTGTACATGTGGGTTATCTAATACCAGTTTACACTGCCTTGATAACCTGTGTCTTGACCTGTTGTCATTGCCAATAAAGAAAGAAAGAAAGAACACACAGTCACATTTGACTCCCAATTCCAAATGCACTTTGAATCGAACATGTGTGACATGGTCATGTGAAAATACAGGTAGACAAGGCAGTCTTGGACCATTTTAACTCAATGTCAGAACAGTGTGACCCCCTTGGACAATTTTGAGGTCAACCAACAGAGACCACAAAATATGTTTATGGAATAGAATTTCGAAACAACAAAGGGGAGGGGTCCACTCTACTACAACTAGACTACAGTGCTCTTTTTGTTTTCTTGAGATAACCATGATGTTCTAGTTCTGTTTTATATCATCTACAAATTATATGACTCTAAAGACGTGTCTTGGGTAACGTATGGAAAATATTATAATCATTCTTATAACAACATATTTTTGATTGGACTTGGAGTCCAAAGCACCATGCTGCCAAGGGTTTAAACGTACACAACGGATTTCAGCAACATATCAATATTTTGGCAGACAACAAAAGTACAAAACAAAGCTAAAGAGAAGGGAGAAAACATATGTAGTTAACAAAAATCACGATGAACGTGGGCTACTCCAGATACATACAAATCCATACCACAACATGTTGTTTCGGTGTTGTAAGTTTCAACAACATGCATCCCTCCAAAGGAAACAAGACAAAACACGCTTCATATCGACGCTGTACGAGGAACAGAGCTTTTATAGTTTCATTACTAGGTGAGGATAACATTTGGGAGAAAATCTGCGCTGTTAAAAGCCTGTTATTTGGTAAAGAATCGCAGAAAAACGGGAGTTTCCTTGTACTCACCTGTTCCCGACGTGAGCTACGTACTCGCTTCGTCCGAGTGGAGGGCTGAAACGGGATGACGCACTTGGGTCTTTCATTTGGGGGTTTCAAAGATTGTTGAGTAATAGAAAAAAGACAATGCAACAAACATACGCTTTAAAAAGTCATACGCTTTAAAAAAAGATATGTAAGAAACAGCTAGTACTATATTTTAAGGATAAAATTACTACTTTTAGAGTTGTTTCTGCTAATATTATTAGGAGAAAATAATAGAAAGACTCCCTATTGTATTGGCATATTCTAATGACCTATCAGGCAGGTCAACTTTCCCGTGATTCAATGCGGCACAATATGGCGGACAATTTTGAGGTAATTTTTGGTGATATCCGCAAAGTTTTGGGTTTCTTGGTAAATTGGGGTTATGGTACAGCAATAACAACATACTCGTAGCAAATTCCACTGCTTTTACATCGTGTGAGCGGAATTTTATCAACTTTGATGCATTCGTTTTGTCGTACTTTTACCGCAAACGTGGCCCACAAACTCACAAGGTCTCTTCTTTGTAGAAGTCAGTGCTCCTGTCACTGTCATCCTTCTGTTTAGGGGGTGTTCCCGTGGTTCCAGCAGTTTTCAACACTTAAGCCTGAAACAACTTAGTGGCTACTTTTCAAATTATCATATTATTATGGCCCATTTATATTTTAATAGCCTGGGTACCATCCGGATTTTCGCTACGCAACGCTCAATTTTTTGCTAATATTTTAAAACAAGGAGGTTTAAATAGGAACCGCCTTGCCTAGGACTACTAAAGTGAGGGCTATTTACTGTACGTTATACTAAACATTATAGTTTTATACATATAACGTTATATGGAGGGCTACCAGCAAAGTACGCCTTCCAAGAGTCACCCAAGCTTAGACACACATACATAACGTTACCACAACACCCAGGGGTAATGTTACCATCCTTGTCAATCACACGCTGGCCTGTAGACTAACCAGAACGGTACCCAAGCGACCAAGGATCGCCACACTTGACAAAGTCCAGAGCACTTCAGTGTTTCACCTTTTGTGACCCCTCTCTCTGTGTCACTAGCCTGGTATCCAGCCTTGTTAGCTTTAGTCCGCTACCCAAGATCCGCTCCCCGCCGGGGAGCGGATCTTGGGTAGCGGACTAAAGCTAACAAGGCTGGATACCAGGCTACTGTGTCACACCCTCTCCGTAATCTAATTCTAAAGTAAAACTAAAAGGTTGGACTTTCTGTAGCCTGGGTGCCAGCCCATACCGCAAATGAGAGATAACCCCTTCGGCCAGGGAAGCCACACGCCCCGCCGACCCCGATTTGGCACCCTGGCTCTCGCGTCCTTGGCATGAAACATAAAGGGCTTGGGCAGCCTGGGGTTGGGCGGTGGATACAGTAGCGGACATTAGGGCTTCTTCCCACAAAAAAACCTATCACGTCTGGCACCCAGGCTAGACTTTCTGCTAAAATTTATGGTTCAGTTTATCTATTGCCAAGAGCACTATCCTTACTGTACTAGTAAAAGTCACTGCACTTCAAATGTAAATAGGAACATTGTAAAAAAATTTATTGCAAAGTGCAACATTTGGTGGTACATTTGTACATTTATTAACAGTCCTGATAAATCCAGCCATGTACACAAACATGCAGGTAATGACTATCCCTACTAGTAAAAGTCACTGAACTTCAAATGTAAATAGGAACATTGTAAAAAAATTTTATTGGAAAATGCATGTAACATTTGGTGGTTCATTTGTACATTTATTAACAGTCCTGATAAATCCAGTCATGTACACAAACATGCAGGTAATGACTAATGTTACAGCTTTTACAAGCTTGCTAATTTTCCACATCATAAACTGGATTAACAATATTTTTTCCAGCTACATGTTGGGAATTTCAAATGACACAATCATCCATACATGCATATGTGATTTGACATTTCTCTAATACGCGTACATGTATCAGAATTATGCTTCCCAATGACCTTTTAGATGAAAGCCAAGTCATTTTATATTGTTGTCATGCATTCAAAGAACGTGCATTAGTACTTGACGTATGCAATCACCATTAACTTGTAAAGTTTAGATGCACAATAAATATTTCATAGCTACAAGGCAAAGTAAATTCTTGCAAAAGGTTACCGCCTCTGGAACTCATCTATTTCTGTGAAACCTTATTTTATATGGTGCACCCAGAAAAAATTTTCCAGTGCACCTTTTCCCAAAAATAAATTTTGAGCCTTGCCAAAGGGGACCATACAGGGTAGGGTTGGGTGTCGTTATCCACCCTTGTTTATGCTGTACTACTCGTTGGCACCCAAAGTTGATTTCCCACCACTTGGAACCCTTCAATAATTCACAGGCTGTAAAACTGTAACCCATTCATGACACATAAATCTTCCTCTGGCCTACAGAGGATGGGGTACAAGTAAGCCAACCTAGAGCAGGTGTTCTGTGTATGTTTATGTATATCAGAGAGAAAGAGAAAGTACAGTAAGGCAAAATATTTTGCATCCTATAGAGTTCAACATTAAACCTAGACTGGAATATTGAAGAATTTTATTGGAAAATGCATGTAACATTTGGTGGTACACATTTACAACAGTCCTGTGTTTTGCATTTTAGGAAGTTCAACTTTGAAGCTAGAGTATACTTGACACTGTATTCCAACTGTACATCCTGAATGCAACTTTACATGTTTGAGATTGTCATTGCTGGCATTACTTAATCAAGGTTGCATAAATGTACTTGTTATTTATATATGCATGTTTTCTATTTAGTATCAATGAATGTGAACTGAAAAGGCTATTTCTAAAATCACAGTCAGAGACAACTTATACTATAGCTTTTTGTGTGTAACAGTGACTGTTAATGTTTTAAGAAGCCCTACTGTATTAAGACATTCGTCTACTGCACACATACGTACATACATGTACACTATTTGGTACAGGGCCAGAAGCCATAACAAGAAATGGGGTTATAAAACTTTGATGAAGACCTTGAGATTGCCAAGGAAGCTTGACTCCCCCATTTGTGCTGCAGAGGAAATGAAAATGTTGAAATAGGCAAGATTTGACTGCAGTGGCACCATGAAAGCCATTTGCCAATAAGCCAAGAAAACTTGTTCTCCCCCCTTAAGTGTTCTAGCTTTACTAGTGTGGAGCATGTTTGAACACGTACTTCCTAGCAAATAAAACTTTTTACCGATTAGCTGCTTACTTTTTTTGTGATGAAGTTTCCATTTAAAGAAAGGGAAATAGGCAAGATTTGACTGCAGTGGCACCATCAAAGACATTTGCCAATAAGCCAAGAAAACTTGTTCTCCCCCCTTAACTTCTTATATGTTCTTATATGTTCCAGCTTTACTAGAGTCGAGAGGAACATGTTTGAACACATAATTTATGTACAATGTCATATACTTCATAGCACGTAAATAAGTCGTAATACTTTTACGGGTTTAAGCTTTCTTTTGTGATAAAGTGTTCATTTAAAGAAAGGGAAGGATATAGCTTTAACAAGTAATTGGCATCTAGCTATTTATATAGACAAAGCATTAGGTGAAAGATCAGTATTTGTGATGTGTTAAAGCAAAGCTGCACAATCATAATTAGGGCTTGGACTATGTTGACTTTCATCACCTTACTACACACACAGAATCATTGCCTTAGTGCAGCTATGCACAATGTTTGTGCTTTGGTCTTTCAAAGTTGTGTAGGAGTTTCTTCCACCACCCACCTGTCTGAATTGAAGACTTTTGTGGTACAATTTAGCTTCAGAGGGAAACTTGTGTACCACTACTGGGACTCCAGCTTAGATTAGACCATTGCCATGTACAATCTATCACTCAAGATTTCAATCTCTCTAGAAGAAAATTGTCTGCACTTTAAATATCCCACTCTACAATTTCATCAATCCTCCAAACCCAGAAGAGTTTCTCTACAGATTACATTCCTGTTTTCTATCAAGGTCCAATCAGAACAACAGTTCACAAAAATAGGATCCAATTCCAGCTTGATGGGGAAATACTTTTGATGCACAGTCCCAATCAATACAAACTTGAAGCAATGGCTTTTTTTTGGTACTTTTCTCACAACTCTATTCAAAGACAAATCAAACTCTAGATCTACTGCTGGGTAAATTACATTTTGAGTGACATCCATCACTCCTCTTCAGGATCACTAAAATACTAAACTGTAATAAACAGTTGAACACATGCAACCAAGACCCACAAGTGTCACTGTTATATGTATGAGAATAAGGTACTTTTAGTAGTTTCTAAGGCAAGACAATACCATAGGACCATAGGACCCACAACACTGTTTCTGGTAGATTTTTGCTTTCACGGTTGAGAAACTCAATTATCAAATGTAAATGGTTGCATCTACAGTATGAGTGTGCCATTATAAAGTGATGTATCCCAAACACAGTCAATAATACATCTTCAAAAATGTTTCTTAGTCTACTGCATCTTGATTTCTTTGATAACAAATGATTAAGTATTCCATTACTATTTGGTATTGATGACAGTTTTATTTCATAATCAACTTTCAGACCGAGATGCTGAACCAGCGCAGACAGCTGTACACCACAGTTTTCTCCCAGTCCTTCTCACCCTGTGGACGGTTTGTGGCAGTGTGCGATAACTTTGGCAGGATCACACTTTTCAGGTAGGTCTAAAGTATAAGGCAGTTCACAGTCCACGCTGTAAATGTGCAGTCTGACTGTGAACTGGCTTATATTACAAGCATGAGGCATGCAGTGTTGGTAATGTGGACAATTTGTTGCAGTGTGTGATAACTTTGGGAGGATCACACTTTTCAGGTAGGCCTAAAGTGTAAGCTAACCTGCACATGCGCAATAGTGTGATGTAGAGTTGGATACTACCGGTAGTAACAAGTCAGTGCAATTTCTAGAACCTGGGAGGAAAATCTCTGTTAACATACGTAGGCACTCACAAATTAGGGAATGAAGACAGTCAGATATCTGTATCTGTATAGCCGGTTTAAGTGCCCTTCAGTGACACCTAACCTAAATGAACATCTAACTCTAAACACTGTCTAAAGCTATCTAATGATAATGCCCCTACAGTACTTTTTGACAGCGAATTCCGATCTGCGATAGTTCTAGGAAAGAATGAGTTTTTGAACATTTCACATTTGTACTAGTATTTTCCTGCCCATACTCTGTGTCACCTCTTGCTAGATAAAATGTCTGACAACTAAGGGAATAAACTGGTAAATAGGGCTTGTAGATTATTATTGAAATGTGCTCCTGATACATCTACCAGGCAGATGCATATTGATCTTGGTTGGCTGACTGTGAGTGAGAGATTCTCCTCTAGCACACTGGTTATGTTCTTTAAGATTGTCTGGTCATGAACCACAGTATATATACAACTCCCTTGTGCCTGTTCATGTATCTCACATTCACAATACCAGATCTGCTGCACAGTACAACTTTAGATTACCCAAACCTAAGACGAACAGTAAGAAGCGCTCATTCCTGTATCGTGCTATATCGTTGTGGAACGACCTACCTTATCATGTCAAGACACTGAGTAACCTTCTCAAGTTTAAGAAAGCCATAGTAAACAGTGTCACATGAAGCCGACCTCTAGTTTTTAAATTGTTAATATTCATTTATGCGTTCCTTTAAATGTTTGATGTATTTTTGTCTTTTTAAACGTTTGCACTGTATCTTATGCACTATTTCCTATGTATATAATTATGTAACGATGTGCCTGTATTCCATGTATTTGAGCCTTGGAAGACTAGCCCTGCAGGGCTAAAAGGTTTCGAAATAAATGAAATAAATGAAACTGGTGAGGCTTCATCGAGACAAATTTGTAACTCATCACAATGTTGTAAGTTATTACTTATCAATCCCCTTCCATTCCATGTCGAGCTGTCAAAGTCCCAGTCCTCGAGGAGGGAATGTTAGATATGAGCTCCCGGAATCTTGGCGGAAAATTAGGGAAAGGAAAATTAACACCCTGGTGTGGACAGGAAATGAAAAATGGAAGCAGACAGGCATTATTGGGAGCCATAGATGGTGCGGAAAGGCCTAGGGAAAAAATGTTGTGTTTCCTGTTTCAGTCTGGAAAAAATTAGGGTCGGTCGGTAGATAGGGATTATCTTTTTTTTTCTTTCTTTTTTTTAGACTTTGGCAATCTTTAGTGATTCAACTTATAAAGTGCAGTTTAACAAAGTAAAACTTGTATGAGGACACTTAATGTCAATGTTGGAAAAGCAATTGTGCAATGTTTCATCACTCAGGTGTCAGATCATGGACCTAAAAAAGGTCGATCAGCTCAAAATTTTATGTCCCTTGCAGGGGTCCACACACAAAAAAATTCTAGGGTCGGCAGGTTTTTCTAGGGCTGGTCGGGAAACAGGAAACACAACATTTTTTTCCTAGGCCTAAGCCATAGACGGCGCAGAAAGGGAAGATGGATGAAGTCCAAGGTCTTGTAAAGTAATGGTAACTGCCTGGAGCAGGTTACGTGAAGGGCTGACACTTTCACGCATTCCTCAAGCCTGGCTACACATTTTGTACATTGCACTGTCAATCATCCTGTGGCCGTGCAGATTTTATGACATGTTTGCCGGATCAAGCTTTGGAGCAATAGTAATCTGAAGGGAAATCAATGCAAACACTTACCTACAATGAAAGTATTTCAACACATTAAACCATGAACAGCTACTAGTATTGTAAAGAAACTTATTAGAAAATTTAGTTTGAATTAACCATTTTACAATGTCAGGTAATGTGTCACAGGAGAAACTTAAAACTAAAACTTCAAGACTTAAATTTTGTCTTTCAGGCATTATATTCTTACTGCTCTGTATTCAGTATATATGTTGTGTCCATGTTCAGTCTTGCAGCCTCACTGAGTGCCGATGCAAAAGAGGACAGTCGGAAACCAGTCTTTACCTTCCAAGGTGTGTGAAACATACACATGACACTTTATATATAATCCATCTATCAGCCGTGATACATTCTCTCATCTGGTACTACACATAGGTGAACATTCTATTGTGAACAAGTATATTTGATTTAGAACTTCAATTGTTCATGAACCAATAACACTATTTCTAAGAAATGACCAAGTGTTGCTTCTTTTTGCTCACAGCTCACAATGGCCCAGTGTATTCACTGTCTTCAACAGAACGGTTTCTTATCAGGTAGGGGCTCTCATGTACTTGAGAATTTTCTTTCCTTCTAGTTTTGTATCTTCTTTTCAGAGTTGTAGTAATTAGATGGCATCTCAAAGCTGACTTATTTTTTTTATCTTCATATTTTTTTTTCTTTATAGCAGTATAACTTCATCATAATGGTGCTTGTATGTCAGTTTGTGTTTTAAATTTGTTACAAAAATCATATTCAAAGTACAAATGACGATGTATCATGTATAAACTTTACAATTATATTTGTAACACGCCATATGAATTAATGATATCTGTATACATGTACTGTATGGTGTATATGCATGATGCTGTTGTCTTCAAACACAGACTCTGATGCACATGTACAATGGACATTCTCTTGCAACAGGTCAATAAATGAACCAGACCGAGTCATAATTACTAAGCTCCCCATTCCACTAATGGAATAATGGAATCCTTCAAGTACAATTACCCAGCCTAACACTGAGTCTTCTCACATGTGCCCTGGAGATGTGGGTATAGATCAACTTGCTCCAGTATCGATTTCTGGATGTCTGAGTGTTAAGCCACACCAATTTAATTTCTTGGTTAACGGATTTTTCTAGAAAAATTATGTGGCAAGCGAAAAAATAATAAAAATAAAAACAAGCCTAGGCATCCTATTATGGCCCAAAATGGTACAATACACTGAATATAAGAGCCTTGAAGTCAACACACCAGGCTGGTTCAAAATTTAAACAATGAATTTTGAACTTTTATTTTTTTTTTAATGATACCACTTCATTGAAAGATGGAATAACTGTAACAACTAGGAAGAAAAGGACTGTTTTCAACTGTTCAGGGCAAATTATGAGCACTGTTGATTCTGAATCCGGGCAAATCCATTAACCAAGAAATTAAAGTGATGTGGCCTTAGGCCTAGGAAAAATGTTGTGTTTCCTCTTTCAGTCCTGAAAAAAAATAGGGTGGTAGGTAGGGATTATCTTTTTGTGACTTTAGTGATATCTATTACTTACTTTACTTTACTTACAATACAGTTAACAAAGTAAAACTTGCATGAGGATACTTTTATTTTTAATGTCAATGTTACAAAACCAATTGTACAACATTTTATCACTCAAGTGTCAGATCATGGAGCTAGAACAGGTTGATCAGCTCAAAAAATTATGTCCCTTGAAGGGGTGCACCCAATAAAAGTCTAGGGCCGGCAGGTTTTTCTAGGCTTGGTTGGGAAACAGGAAACACAACATTTTTTTTCCCTAGGTCTCAGATGTGGGCATAGATCAACCTGCTCCAGTATTGATTTTGGAAAGTCTGGAAGTTACCTGCTTAGCATGCTAGCAAGACTGCCATTTTATTGATCTTGTCTCCCAGAGGATTTTTTTCTTCTACCCTCAGAACATGTTTCAATGGCAGTCATAAATAAGAAGATGAGGTTTTAACTTGTGCTGTTGTATAATCCATATCTTTGATGCAGTGCAAGTTTGGAATTTTTACCAGTTTCAAGAAGTCACAGTGAAACTACGTACAAAAGTTTCAAGACTTAACAAATACTTATCTTCAGGTGCAGAATCTGTATCTAGCTGTATAGTCGGTATAACTAACTATAAGTAAGTAATGATGCCCCTATGTACTGTACTTTGTGGCAGAGAGATCCACCCTACAATAGTTCTGGGAAAAATTGACTTTTTGAATACCTCAATCCTTGTTTGATAACTTGAAGGCATACGACTTAAGGCATATGGTCTACATGTGTATTTCTGGCTCTTTTCTGAGCTGGCATTAGACACTTACAGTAGTTGGTACGTCCACCAGTTTATTAGTCATTTTGTACATCATGCATATATAGTCTGGACATGTTTCATTCAGACACCAACTGTAGGTTTCTTTTCAGGATACATTATACCGCAAATTCAATCTTCCAAGCAGCCCAGCGATCAGTGGATTTGCATGCCCTACGTATTCTCTCTCGGCTACCAAAAACCAAAAGGGCCCTTATCACTCGTCACCTCTACCTGCCCACTGGGAGCCCTACGCCTAACCTTGGGTCGACGGTTACCTTTTACCCCGTCTTAATTTCTTTTTCAATATCGGCGTTCCCTATCTCGCCAAGGACAGGCAATACGTCCCCTTCTCTTGGTCGTAAGGCCTAGGCAAAAAATGTTGTGTTTCTTGTTTCAGTCCAGACCTGAAAAAATTAGGGACCTTAGGTAGAAATTATCTTCTTTTTTTTTTTCTTTTTTTTTTTTAGTACAATTTTTTGGGGCAATCTCTATATAGTGATTCAACTTATACAATACAGTTATACTGTTGAACAAAGCAAAACTTGCAGGAGACGACACTTACTGGTATATTTTCAATGTCAATGATGGAAAACTGATAGTACAATGTTTCATCACTCGGGTTTTACATGTAGATCATGGAGCTAGAAAAGGTCGATCAGCTCGAGAAATTTATGTCCCTTGCAGGGTTCTACTCAAAAAAGAAAGCTAGGGTCAGCAGTTTCTTCTAGGGTCAATTTGGAAACAGGAAACACAACATTTTTTTTCCTATGCCTAATCCTCGCCAGTGATTACCCTTCATGCAATGTCAGCAGTAAAAGTTACGACGACGGCGGCGCCCGTAGCCGCTAGCAGCGACACAGTAATGAAGAATCATTGATTGTACTTTCATTATACACCAAGTGCCTGGAGGATAAACTCTCATTTGGACGCTGTTGAAATTTATCCAACCATTTTTATGTCCTATTATCACGTGCAAGCGTACGTGTATGATTGATTGTGTTGATAGTACAATTCACTTCCAGATTGCTAATTACTTCAATCAGAGAGCTAAAGCTTCTTGTAATTCCTCTTATATTAAACGGTCTTCTTCTATAATCTTTAGTATCTTGCATTTTATAGAACCAATAAAAATGATTGCTTTCAAATGCAAGGCTGTAATGTGTTACAAGTAACGTCTCTGATGTAGACTGTATGTTTGAATCCTTGTGTATTCGTGAGAAGTTCAAATCGGCCTGCAGGCCACTTTTCATAGTGGCAATGAAGGAAGAGGTACACATGTAAAGGTCAGACAAAATACATAAAAAAGATACAGTTTACATCATAGGGACATACATTTGTACATGTAGTAATTCCTTGTTAATCTATACACATTTTTTACAAATACATGGCACAAGATACATATATTAGAAGGAGAGCTGGCATATGGTTTAGCCTGACTAAATCGCGCTCCTGGCGGCCGCCGCCCTAGGTTGCCGTGGGGGTCATTAACGTCCAGCCGAGAGCTTGTATACACAGGCTAATTAACGTCCAGCCGAGAGCTTGTATACACAGGCTAGCATATGGTTCATGTCCGTTCGTTTTGGTCATTGACATTTCTGACACATACATGGTACAAAATACATATAAGGGTGAGATAGAGCTGGTACACGGTTTGTGTCTATTTGTTTGGGACATTTCTGACACATACATCAGATTTCTACATATTATAGCCCAAAATAAGAGTAAGAGCTTGTACATGTATATGGTTCGTGTCCATTCGTTCATGTTCTGTAAGACTGCATATGGAATCGCTGTGCATGCGGTTACTCCTGCACGTATTGATTTTATCCACACACCCCTGAACCCTGGTGAACCCCGGGTAGACTCCTGATTTTATGGATCACGACAGCTAAATTAATTTTCCAAGCTCTATGCTAAACACGAGAAGGCCTCTCCTGGGAAAGTCTACACATCTACAAGTTTCCAATATTGCGAACTTGTAGCTTTGCTTCATTGATTAAAATAAGGATATCACCTGAGTAAGGAGACTCTTTTTACACAACCAAAATTTGATCTTTTATTCAGCCGACGTTTTGGTGACCGTCTGTCACCTTCCTCAGGGCAATTCTGACTGGTTCACATTGTACTGCAGCACAGGTGGGTGCACCACTGCAGGTGAGGAAGGTGACAGACGGTCACCAAAACGTCGGCTGAATAAAAGACTTGGTTGTGTAAAAAAAGAGTCTCTTAATTATAACTCAGTGACTTACCAATCTGATGAAACTGTTCACGAAATATATCACCTTTCAGAAAAAAATTACAGATTGGCATTGCCTGATGATGGTAACTACCTTGGCAAATACTCCATATTTCCCCTAGATTAAGTAATTAATCTGCTATTTCCCATGTGATTTCAGTGCTGGCACAGGTGACATCAAAGCATGGAGCTGGCCTGACATCTTGAAAAAGGTACATGTATTTTTTAAAGTTATTGGATCCAAATTATACAACAGCATTACAGTTTTAAGGGAGGCTACCTATAGCTATAACACTGTTATTGGTAGAAACATGCCTACTGTTAGTCATGGTAATTTTGCACCACCTAGCAGATTGATGAAGTACTGCATAATCCATCTGTATGAAGACAAATATAGTACATGTGTTATGTTATGTTACTTTAACCATACTTTCCCAAGTATACATTGTATTTACATGTACGTGTTATTTCCTAACTTTCCTAACTTGAAAGTTTTCTGTTACATGTAGAGCCCAAAAGTGCAGTGGTCTCTGTCACCTCCATTCAAGTAAGTTTTCATCAAAAATATTGCATTCAATAGTGACTGTACGTATGATTTTTGTTGCTTAGCTATAAAAGTAGATGATTTCATGTCCTGGATTTAAGTCACTGGCATTATGAGTCCAAGTATATGTAGTACAGTACATATATGTAGAAACCTATTAATATGTTCTATTGCTTTGTTTTACAGCCACAGCTTTGATAATCCAGAAACCAACAGTGTGGTGATTACAAAGGTAAGTTTGCAGCTGTTATGAAATTGTGATTTTTCTAACCCTGCTTTACTATTAGATTATTCCTTTGTTACTCTCTTGCCTCACATTTCTAACCAGAGCATTTCGTGACAAATTGATGAAACAGCAGACAAATGTAGATCAAACACCACTAAGCCTTGCAATACTGGCTACATCTGCAAGGTGGCAGCAAACATTGTGGAGACTTTATGGAAATCAATCACCCTGATAGAAATGTTGAGTTCTGGAATCTGAATAAGAAAGTTTGATGTGTTTTTGGTACATAATCTTTTTCATTTCATGTCATTTTAGGAAGGGACACTCTGTTCTGGATGTGGAGACAACAATGTGTATCTGTGGGACATGCAAACAGGAACTTGCACAGTACGTTTTGTGTTGGTTTGTATGTACAAAATGTAGTTACTTGTCACTGGATAGCAGTATCCTAACTATAATTCACTTTTTGTTCATGGTAGCAAAAGTTCGACAAAATTGGACATGTTCACAGAACTATATGTTAATTGTGGCGGCAGGTGCAGAAGAAAGAACGTACAGAAGTGACTGCAAAAACTGTGAACATAGAAATACCACAAAAATTACAGTATTTTGATATTTTGCATTGAAGGTACTGTAAAGTATATCAACAGGAAGGTGGGGATTCTTATATATGTGACAATTTTTTCTTTAATTTGTGATAATTTTTCCACAGAGCACACTCAAAGGCCACACAGACTACATCCATGCTCTTACCCTGAGGAGCAATGACCAGCAACTGGTGTCTGCTGGGGAAGATGGGGCCATCAGAATATGGGGTAAAAGTTTTGTTCAATGCAGTTGCTGTTTTTGGTTAATATCTGTCATTCCAGTTTAGAAAATATCATCAAACACATTGCTACCATTTTATCATCAACAGATTTGTTTTACATATTGTGTATCATCACTTTTACCTCAACTTCTCTCCAGATTTGCGAGACTCCAGAGAAGCAGCCCATGTATTGGAGCCTTACAAACATGACGTGAGTATACTGTTAGATACCAACACTCTGATAGGGGCTTTCTCATCACTAGAAGTACATTTTTTTTAAGTTTTTTTTTTTTATAATCATTCTTTTTATTGTTCTTTTTAAAGTTTTAACTTCAAAGCTTAAGATGATATTTTAGTTGCTCTTACGTAAATGAGCACATACACAGCATTATATCATACCCGGGCCGCGATAATGTTCGATAAAACGATTCGAACGCGTTTCGCCCTACCCGCTTGTGCCCCTTTCGAAAATTCGAATACAGAATCCGGACATTGGAACTGATGTTGTTGCATTTTAAGGTTTAGTGGCACCAACTTTTGGCTCATCTTGCATTGAAAGGCGTGTTTTCTTGGGTTGGTATGACATAGATAAAATACAACACGATGTATTCCGCATCGCCCTCGGTCCCGGCCCTCCCGCGAGTCGGATCGCGGCCGTCGGGCGATCCGACCCGCGGTCGGGCCGACACCTTGGGCGATACGGAATACCCCGTGTTGTATTCTATATGTATCATTACATATGTACATGTACGCCTGTACACCTACAGTTATGTCTGTGTGCTATACATGTGTTGCAGGTGTGTGGGAGACCAGAGCAGGGCAGGTGGATTGGGTGTGTAGCTGTGGACAGTGGGGACGACTGGCTGGTAAGATGTACAATATCTATCTATGTCATTTTTATCTACATACTAAATCAAAGAAGGGGTATGATAATATTAATATAAGGTCCATGCTTAATAAATTAACTGGTTTTGTGTGGCAGTAGTGGTTAGCATTGACTCTGATTGAGTACTCTAATTCTCTTGAAAATTTACCAAAAGCATCAAACTGCTCTAAGGTTTAAAACTTAAAAACAGTTGCATGACAACATCCAGCCATTTTCAGCTTTTCTAACCGTTCAGATCAGCAAGGACAGTCATAAACTGGGATGAAAGCTGAACACAGCTGGATACCAGAAAGAAAGACAGGACCAAAAGTAGCTCAATCATTTCAGATTAGGTACTATCTTCTGACTGCTAGTCCCTATGATGGCAGTCAGAAAGTATAATGCAGGCAGAGAAAAAAGGAGGATGAAAACACAGATCTAGACCAGAGACATTTGCTAACATAAGATTATCATAGGACCTGGTACTGTCTCTGATTGCTAATCCCTATGATAGCAGTCAGAAAGTATAACGTAGGCAGAGAAAAAAGACAGTATGAAAACACAGATCTAGACCAGAGACATTTGCAGACGCGAGATACCATCCCTCATGCTGCTCATAAGAAGTAGCCTTGGCACTGCACAGTTGGACACAACCCAATCTGTGGACAGTCCTGAATGTATTTAACATCTATCTAGGGCTAGAGACACCATGCTGGTATTTAAGTGGTCATAGGGTGTGTCATTGCCCTGTCCTAGAGTATACTGTTACAGTATATAGTAGTGCATTACATTCATTAGCATATCATCTAAGTGGTATGTGACCCACAAATACTTTTGCTGACATAAATGTATTCCAGTGAAGGTTTTAAATGTAAGATCATGATTTTCACCTAGAGATCGCAGAAGATGAATACTGAAATGACAATAGGAAGAAGTGGCATGTGAGATACAAAATGAATATTTGGTAATAGATAAATCTTCGACAGGTGGTTTTATGGAAAGGCAAGTCTTTATCATAATAATGTTTTTTTTGGCAGTACATGTACATATAAGTCATGAACATGTTGTAAAATTGTAAAACATTTGTTACTGTTACTTGTGTGACTGCCCCTACACCTGTTCAGCTCATATACATTGTACATTATCTTCAGGGCTCTGTTTAATGTTACTAATCCTGCGTGGGCAGATGTTGCTTCATAAGAAGATACCAACATAAAAGGGACATGGTTACTATGTAGATCTTCAAAGCTTAGTAATAATCCCTGAAAAAGTGTCAATCCTGGCTTTTCAAAAGAAGAAGGCACAGAGAATAAGGCAGAGTTGGAAAGATAACATTTGTATATCTGTTTATTTTGATTTTTCACAAAGTGAAAGGGAGGGCAAAACAGGTGCATACGCACCTTTTCAGTTGCACTCCCCCATACAAAAACAAATATACAACATCAAAATTTACATAGTCAATGACAACATGCCTCTTGATTAGAGAAAAAACATGTGTACATGTACATGTACGTGTATACAGTTACAGTATATAGATGACTAGAGAGACGTTATGGGTGCCATCTCTTATTAGAATGAACTGCACTGAACTGAGTTGAGTTGACAAGATAGTGGTACAAAAATTTATATGTGCAATTATGTATATGGAAAAAATATATGTACTCAGTCTGGCTTTATCTAAAAGTTGGAAAGATAACTTGCTCCTCGATTAGGGAAAAAAACATGTTCACATATACGTAGGATGAACTGTACTGAACTGAACCGAGTTAGAAAGATAGTCGTACATGTACATGTATATGGATATGGAAAGAAAAAACATATTTCCGGGCTTAATCTCTGTAGTGTTGGATTTCTCCCCCAGGCTATTTCCTGAGTAGGATGTTCCAGATAAACACGATAACACAAAGTACTGGTTTGTCGGGGCAATTGGGCGTAACATCATTTGCTGCCAGCTTTGGCAAAAAGGTCAAGAAAATATCCACAAATCCGCCAGTAAGAAGAGGACGTATATACCTGATAATCTGACTTGACGTGGAACAATTGGGTCATGAGGAATTGATTTATTCGCAAACTGCCTGCTCTAGTATTTATTTTATCGTGGGGAAGAGAACACTTGAACAAAATTAAATGGAGCATGGCTGATGACTGGGAATTAGGTCAACACGATGGAGGTCACACATCAATCAAATTTTCCCAAAATATCTCTGGCCAGCTGATGACTTCATTTACATGCCCTAGTGGTGTAGTTCCATGTGACCCAGAATAAATCATGACTAAACTGGGTGGCAAAACCAATCACTCTTCGGTATTAATGGCTTTCCCATAGGTAGTACAGATCAAAATATGGCACTCTTTTGATTGTATAATGTTTGTATTTCTTAACAGGTACATGTACAAATGCACATGCTGGTATAGTTCCAAGTGACCCATATAAATTATGACTAAACTGGGTGGCAAAACCAATCACTCTTCCGTATTATTGGCTTCCACTAGAAGTGCTCAATACTAGCTAGTACAGATCCAACATACGGTACACTTTGATTGTATGATGTTTGTATCTCTTCACAGAAACAGGGTACATGACATGTACATTCTGGTGTATACATGTAGTTCTTTAGTGACCCATATGACTAAACTGGGTGACAAAAGCAATCACTCTTGTGTATTAATGGCTTCCCCTATATATAACTGTTCAATACAGAGTCAAAATATGGTACTACACTTTGATTTTATGATGTTTTTATTTGTTCACAACAACAGGGAGCATGACAGTGTGTTACATGTAAACATAAAAGGAATGTGTTTTGTAAAATGGCTTCACCTAAAAGTGTTATTATAGTCTGTTAGAGTCAAAATATGGTACACATTGATTATATTTATATGGTGTTTTTATTTCTTCACAACAAAAGGGGGTGCGACAGTGTGTGCTTAACATAAAAAGGAATGAGTTTTGTGCAATGTAAACTCTATATACCGGTTACATCTCTTTTGTATCCAAATAACGAAATGTGTTCATTTCGTTAATATAAGTCATGTATCATTGACCACTACATTTAATTTGGTGCATAATTAAGTACATGTATATTTAGCTTAAGTACGTTTTCCAATGATGATAACATCTTTTTGAAGGAAGCGTTCTTGAGGAAGTTGTTGTCTGTGCCACTTTTATTGAGCACTCTTGACGTGTACTGTTGGCTATGTATACAGTCCCCGCATCTGGGACCCTCGTGGGCTGATTTAGAAGACTCTGGAATGGGCCAAGGATGTAAAGTTTACCCTTTACGATTTACGCACTTGCTGTAACCTTGGTTGTCTGGCAACGTTATGTCCTTAGCCTAGATCTTCGCTTGCGACGCTTTAAATCTCGTTCTATCATCCCTTCATCAATTAACCCAAATGTGATGATTAGGGTCATTTTTCTCTATCTGTACCCGCCAGTTTGCGGCGCAAAAAGACGGCGTAAATGGCACTCCGTTGGTTACAGGTCTGTGCCGAATGCCTCTTAAGAATTTAGGTCAATGGTTGCCGCTTGGTCAACAATTACCCCCTTCTGGTCAGTGGATACAGGCTAGGTCAACAATTGATTCCCCTTCCCCACTAATCTCTGTCACTAATTGCAGGATGTGAGTGGTACATGTGCACGGAGCAGAAAGGGCAGATAAGAAGGCCAGATTGTGCCTTTGAGATACTGTACAATTTTTCCCTTTGAAGTCTGTGGAGAAAGCAAATACATGTTGTGAGTTTCACTACCATTGAAAGAGATTGCTCCATCAGAAATGTGTAAAATTGAAAGAGGAAACATGACCTTGATGCATGAAGAAGGCCAGATTGTGTCTTTGAGATACTGTACGATTTTTCCCACCGAAGTCTATCAAAAGAAAGCAAATACAAATTGTACATGTTATAACTAATGTACTCACTTTCACCACCATTGAAAATTAATAGATTTGCTCCATCAGAACTTTGAAGTGTGTAAAATTGAAAGAGGGAAGATGACCTTGATGCTTGCTCTTCAGCGAATCACACTTTGCCAATACCAGTCTTGTTCCGTTAGCCCAAAATTTCATACTTTCTCAACATTCCATTTTAGGAAGTACATGTAATAGAGGTTTGCCCATTTTTTAACGATGGGGAAACGATATATTTTGGTGTTCTGGTAACCTTGTCACATGAAAACAAAAGAGCAAAAACTCTCAATGGAATATGTTACGCTACTTATTCCTCCTTTCCTCCAGTGATTTCCTGTGTTCCCATTCCTTCCCATCATTCTCTGCTGTCGGTAGAGAAAGATGCTATGGGGTCAGTGGGAGTGTGGCATGATGTCATATTCCACAAAATCAGGTCATCGGCCACACTTTCGAGGCCACCAACTCTGTTCCTGGGGTCACCATCTGCTACACGAGGGCAGGGTCCCAGTTCACACCGCCCATCCAGGTCATCTGGGTCCTTTATAGGTCAGACATCCTGGTTCTTCCCTGGATGTGTCCTGATTTGGGGTCGCTGACCTGCCGATATTTTCTCAATGTTCCATAAGCCTATCACATGATGATTAGCCCGTAATCAGGCTGCTTGGCCCCATGGGAAGGCCGGCATAACCAGGCCACAGAGATGATAAACAACAAAAGTAGTGGGCATGGGGAGCCTGACCCAAATAAGGAGATTATTAACACCGTCACAAATATAGATGAGATGCCCCCTCTACCATTTACAGAGTGCATATCTAATGCACAAGTCTTTGATGTAGATAAGAAACGAGATGACCAAATTGCCGTAATTGCGTACAAGCGATTTACAGAGACATAATTGATGTAGGTTAAGAGCAGCCGAAACAGATGCTGTCTTCTTCATCTTTTAGTTTACCAGGGGAGAGAAAAAAACCTGTTGGTCTCTCCTTTGAACTAAATTCCTGTGACGATGCACATGCAAATTCATCAAAAGGATGCTGAGAAAAAGAGCTCCATTCTATGTGCTATGTGATTGAGAAAACAGGAAAAGGATACAGAAATACAGAATACACTGCAAAGGATACAGAATACAGTATAAAAGGATACTGAAAAAAAAGATACAGAAGATGTAGAATACACCAAAGGGATGCTGAAAAAACTCAATTCTACATGTGATTCTACACTCAGAGTTTGCTAGGCTTTGCGTTAAGATGAGAAACATTGGTCTACATTCTCACCAGCCCTAAGCCACTCCCCCCAAGTTAAGTGTGTGTTCCAGTTAAGTCAGCCTTTGATGCAATCAATATTCGACATGTTGCAGTTTAATCTATTAAGAGGCTTATGTTAGCCTCTGGTCCAGAAAGCCTCTATTTGCTCTCTGATGTCACATGATATGTGTTTGTTTGGGTAAGGCCTATTCAGTTTGGCCTATTTTTTGTCTCAGCTATCATTCATTCAGAAAATGAATTAGCCTGTACAAAGTGCCTGCCACTTATGGACTGTCTGAAGCATTCGAAGTATGTCATTTATACCTTTTATGTCAGGAAAGAGGGATTTAAGCAAGGGTGCTTCAGTAGAAATGGGGTAAGGATGAGGAAAGACTTGTTTTAAAGTATCACATTATAAACTTGTGTGTTTTTAGAAGATTAAAGTGAACGGCTTGTTTGGTAGAGACCTCCCATTGATCATGATGTCAAGGGAAAATCCACTCCATCTTGCTTAAATTGCTCCTTTGTGCATTACATACAAACACATGAACAGTCTCTGATCTTTCAGATCACCCACAGAGAAAAAGAAACTGACAGTACTTGTAACGAATACTGTCATATTTGCTACATGAAAGAAACCAAGAGTGCTGTGTTTCTTTGAAGAAACTGGTACTGTTAATATACCACATAAAAAAAAACAGTACTTTGATGTTACTTTGAACTGTTCTTGAAACGAAATTTTGACGTACATTCACATAAAGATTTAGTACTTTCCGAAAGCATGTAATTTTCAATTTCAAATCAATTGTCGGAGATAAATTTACCAAAACGGTGACCTACATTGTAAAAGTGTCCACTATGTGCTCTTTAGCCCTTGATCATGACCTCATGTAAAGGCAAATTCAGACTCCAGTAGCTATGTCTTAGAAATAAGACAAGTACATCTCTGTTACAGTGATGTTCATTTGTCTCCCCTAGCCTGTACCTTTTTTTACTTCAGACATTAGACATTACAAAGTGCCGCCTTGCCAGTTTGAATGGGACGGCATTTAGAACAGCTGGCTGCTACAATTGGGTGCCAAACAAACTCTGGCCAGCCAGAGCACCCTTAAGTCAACCCGCTGAGTTTGATATTATGGCACCCAAGCTAGGGTGGACCACCCGCTGAAATGTGGTGCAAAGACTAGCTGCCTGCAGCCCACCCTGTGTCAGGAACCCATGCAGCAGTATAATCAAAGACCGGATACTACGTCTATACGTATACTTCCATAGCCTAGTATACCAGGCATCGGGAGATATTGGAATTGGCCTTGTAGAAAGAGTACTTTGGCGAACTCCCCTGGCATGTTATCTCTCTATTTGGCCAATTTCTAATCTTTCCAGCCGCCTCTGGCGGCCTGGTAGATGCTATTTCCATGGTGTGGGCTGCCTTCCAAAGCCTGGTAGAGGCTACTATTTCCATGGTGTGGGCTGCCTTCCAAAGCCTGGTAGAGGCTACTATTTCCATGGTGTGGGCTGCCTTCCAAAGCCTGGTAGAGGCTACTATTTCCATGGGTGTGTGCTGCCTTGTCCATTGCCCCAGATTCCCATAACCAAACTTCCTGTTACCACACTCCCCTTCCCATCAACCTCTGCTTCCCAGCCCCATGTGGATCACCTACAGTGTATGATGTCATACTCCACAGAATCAGGTCAATTACAGGTCGTTGACCCCACTTTTCAGGCCACCAACGCGGATCTTGAGGTCACCATCTGGTGTGTGAGGGCAGCAGCACATGTTCCAACCTTCCATTCAGGTCATCTGGGTCATTTATAGGTCAAACATCCTGGGTTTTCGGATGCTTATTAGCATGTCTTTAGACAATTAGGCCACAACAATTTAATCTATTGGTTCTCTGATTCGCCCACTTCGTTGGATTTATAAAAAAAAGGCTCCAAAATGCTCATATATTGGCCCCAACAGATGAGGAAAGTCCTTGTCTTTCTAGTTGTTACACAATGCTATGTTGACTTGTTTTACTAGACAACTCATAAATTTCCAGCAAGCAGCATGTACATTACATTACATGTTATTTACATGATAGTGATTCATCCATGCATCATTTACTGGGTATAATGAAGTCTTTTTCTACCAAAGTTTGCTCTTCACTTTAAGATTTTGAGTAAATATGTAACAGTGGGGTGTAACAGTGGGGTTCAAGTGCCGCTAACTGATCCATTCCAATGGGTTAGTGATACTTGAACCCCACTGTTACAAAATAATCTTTTTTTCTTTCTCCTTGTTGTTCTCTTCAAATTCTTTTCCCACCAACTTTTGCTCACTTCAAGATTTATCATAAAAGAAATATTTACAAAACTATTTTTACATCCTTCCTTCCTTGTTTGTTCTGTAGGTATGTGGAGGAGGGCCTTCCCTGTCACTGTGGCACATGAGGTCGATGACCCCAGTGGTGGCCTTCTCCAGCCCCGACTCCTGTCAGAATGTGGTGATGCTTCAGGAAGACCAGGTCAGTTAAACGTTTGCACAGACTGGGTCAGTTTGCCCATTCTTTTTCTTAGCTTGTAAACAACATATTTCACGTATCAAACCATCAGTTTGCACAGGCCGGAATCGGGATGAGTTTGCCTATCCTTTTCTTAGCTACATGTTAATGTTTAATACTGATAGCTGCCTGTAAACAATGTATCTCATGTACCACACCACATATAGCCTGGTTCTGTACACTGACTGCTGTACACAGTGCTATGCCTGGTTTCACAAAGTTTCCTACCTCAACACTGGAAATTGTAAGGAATGGAGCCCAGGCTAACAACATCATACATAGCCAAGTACCAGAGCAACCAATCCTTTTTTAGCTATACTGATCAAGGAGCTCATAGCGAATACCCTTATAAGCTCCTTGCACTGATACAAGTGATAGCTTCTTGTAAACAACGTATCTCATATACCACACCATGTAAATATAGTCTGGGACTACCAGACCCTGTTTAGTAGAGAAAGAAAAGTCACTGATCCCTTGACCGGCTCTCTCCCAACATGCCCCAATCCCGGAGTTGGAAGCCTATCCCTCCTATCCTATAACCTATCCCTCCCCCCATGCAAGAGATAAATTTCACCAAGGGGGCCAACTTTGTTATCAGGCGAGTGGCTTCCCCCGGCCAAAGAGAGTATAATGCCACATGGGGTCTGGTACTCAGGCTACACCACCAATGTTGCTGAGAAATATCCCAAACTTGTAAATGTTCATCAGAGCTTTAAACGCTGCATGTAGCAAAGGGGCCCAGGCTAACAAACAGCATTACCATGCACCCATTGACCCCCCATTGATAATTGCCCCAGTACAGGCATACAGTATCCTGGGGCTGGTCATTAGTCTTACTAATGGTCATCAGTATCAGTGATGCTTCATTATCTGTGGACATCCTTTCATGTCTGTGTAACAGTTGGGGGTTTATAGGCGCTACTAACTGACCAGGCCGATGGGTCTAGACCTTTTAGCCAAATAGTTAGACCGTCGGCATGTGGACTGGTGCCCAGTTTTGGTCGTGGGTTCGAACCCCGGCCCGGGACTAGGAGTTTTTACCTGTTACTACTCGCTCCTCCTGTTTCTTACATCTGGCTTTAGGGCTCCTAAGCATGATCTCTGACTTGCTTTGCTTGGCTAGCACATGAAGCATTTTGCAATAACATACTGTGTGTTTTTGTACACTGGTGTATGTATCTAGCCTGGTATATAGTCTATCGTACATGTAGTTGGGGCAGGCTGTCTTCGTGACTCTAATAGTTTTCCCCTGCCAAGCTCAACAGGCCGGTGGGAGTGTTACACCTGTAGGAGCTTTGCTAAAGTAATAGAGTTTGTGCAATTCTAACGTACATTGTAGCTGAGTCGGGCAGCGAAGAGCTCCTGCACATAGAAGAGAACCTGCGATAGACTGGATACCAGGCTAATACATGTATGTACCACAAACTGACTAGATGAGAAAAACACTTTTAAAGTTAAGTGCTTACAAGACCTGACAATGTTTGGTAAAAGACATATAGAAATATTGACAAGGTTGCAATGTTTTTTTTACAGATCATGTCAGCAGGGTCCTCCCCCTGTGTGAACCACTGGAGTATGAATGGCGAACTGCGGTCGCAGGTCCCCTGTACACCACCCTGTATCTACAGTCTGGCCATCAACACCAACTCTGCCAGCTATAAGGTCAGTATAGTACTAGTACAAGCATAAGACTTGTGTTGTCAATCAGAGTTGTCAGTAATATGCTTTTGAAATTTGTGCATATAGAAAACTTAAAGTTAGTTGTAGACCTCTGGCTTTTCTTCAGATGTGCTACATGTAGATGTTGGTTACCTTGTGAATCCACTCTACTATATAAGGCTTTCCTTCATGTTACCCCAAGGAGCTTTAAATAAATATATTTTAAGCTCCTTGGTTTCCCCTACCAACATCTGAACCATAAAAAGTATAATCATTAACAAGAATGGCACAGTGGAATGTAAAATGGGGGCAATCACAAACATCTTGACTATTTATGACTGCAGACCATGTAGGAAAATATTTACATAACCCATGCCTATCTTCCCTTAATTATTCTGTTTCCTTTTTTTTTTCATTAAAGCAATGTCCAAGAATCTTGGATCTGACCAGTTGTAGCCTACATGTACAAATGTAGGTTGAATACCATCAGTATTTTGTTTATAAGGGCTCCCATACTCTGCAATAAACCAATCCCACTCCATCCCTTTATTCAGGTGCTGTCAGCTGCAGGCAGCAGTGCTAAAGTCGACATCTTCACCAACTTTGGATACAAGGCTTTCTCCATGCTGGTGTGCTGACATGCCTGATGGCCGTGGGAAGAACTACATTTTGTAGATAGACCACTAATATTAACATCAGCATACTAGCAACAGAAATCATACTTGAAGACTGGAATTGTGGCACTTTCTTGTCTTGCACAATGTACACAAAAGTTAAGCCTAATTGAATGTAAAAGATTTAAAGGCAAAAGTAAGACAACAGTTAGTTTTCTGTGGTTTGGTACTAGTGGTATAAATTAAAAGCGGTAACATCACATCCTTACTTGACTCAAGACACTTTATTAAAACCTTACAAAACATCATTTTGCATCAGACTCTTCAGTTTACATCAACTTGAGGGTTAAGGAATATTCTGTCATCTTTATTTCTGAACAGAGCATGGAAACTTCTTAAGTTGCACAAAATAATACTGTTTACATTCAGGCATTTTTAGCACCTCACTGTCTTCTCATTTAACACACAATCAGTAGTGGTCTCTATTTACAACTCTGTTTTAGCTGGCACCACTTGTTTTAGACCATTTGGCCATGACAGTAATATTACTTAACAACAGCAGCATTACAATTATATAAAGTAGACATACATGTACACTGATTTTCTGTATAAATACATGTACAATATCTCTTAAAATCATCTCTTTTTACATCACTTACACACTTGAATACCTCTAGGGCAAATACATGTACAAGCAGTTGTACATTATGGCATTTTTGCACACATCCCAAATGCAGTTTTGGCACTGAAAATATAATTTCATCAGGTTGGTAGGACATAGGATATTTGAATTTTCTTATACATAACCAGTGCTTGCTTACATTGCAGCAAAAAGCAGTACTCCAGTCAGAAGCTCTGACAGACATAGAAAGGTAAGCAAGGTAAGCAAGGTGAAAGTGTTGGTTGTGTATACAAACATCCCAATGTCCTGTGGTTTTGACACTTTTGAAACTTACATCAGTTTTGTACAATACATTTTTAAAATTGATTGACTTTAACTCCAGAAGTGTAGGACTGGCGAGATTTGACGCTGACAAATTTTCTCTCCCCCTCTCCTAGTAAGAACAATCCCGTAAGGTTTCCACCATACAGACACCCCGTATCCAAACCTGTGGCATGATCGTAAACCTGGAGTCTTCTAATTGCATCATGACCAAACACCACATGCTGTGGTCCTGTCCATTCTGCAGCCCAAGGCTGGCCCTCTGTAGCTCTTTTCCTGGCCTCAAATTTACCTTCTTCAGTCTTGACAACATTTCTGACTGTCATCATCTCGTAATCGCTTTGCTCTTCCAACGATCTCCCTGGGACTAGTCCAGCATGAACCACGATGATGTTGAAAGTTGGTAGAGAGATGGTGTAGGGTAGTTCTCGTAGGTATTCGGCCTCTTCATTGGTTAGCTTACCAACCCATGTATATTTCTGAGGAAGCTTGTACTCAGGGTTTCTACTGTTGTCATACTCTCTTAGGACATGATCTTCGTGGTTGCCTTTGACGGCGTAAACTTTAGAGCGGCGTAAGAAGTCGAGGACTTCCCAACTTTTCGGTCCCTTGTTGACCATGTCGCCTACAAATATCACCACTGTGTCTTCCCTCATCGCGTCTGCTTTGTGTAGGAGCTCCATCATTTCATCATAGCAGCCGTGCACGTCCCCAACTAAAAACACCCTTTTTCCACCGACAATGGACTCGTCCAGTACCACGTGCCTAACCTTGGGCACACGGGATAGTCCATTCTGTTGAGCAGGAGGGGTGTAGAAGAGTCGTGTGAGGGATTTTGTTGCGAAACTGCAGAGATAGGTGACGGCAACAGAGCCAGCTAACAGGGCAACTAGCCCCATCTTAGTACCGTGAAACTGCATGAAGGCTGGTAGGTATCGGTGGCTCCAAAACCTTCAAAAAAGAGGAGGCAAACCAAACAAGTTAGGAGATTTACTGTTCTGATACTGTGAGAGTAAACATGAGGTGCTTTGTTCTCAGATGTTGAAATGTATTTCACACTTTCTCTAGACTATACTGTAATTCACTTTATATGTTCACTGTAGCAAAATTTCACGGTCTGAGAAAAATGGGGATGTTCACTGTACTATACATTCACGGTGGTGACAGGTGCAGGAAAAAGAAGGTTCAGGAATTACCTGTTGACTAATGATAAGTTCACGGTACAGAAGTGACAGTGAAAACAGTGAACATAAAAGTACAGTGAACAAATCAGGAATTACAGTAGTTTAATATCTGTTGATACATTTATCATATACTTTTCCAAGGAGGATGATTAGCATTACACGTAATGATAAATATATCACAGTAAGAAGGATAGACTAAGCATGGTAGCTGGAATGATCACAAAACATAATAACTGTGAAGGTGCCTTTCTTACACTTGAGTATGAGGTATGCTTTACAGTATGTCTCTTTGCCAAATGTTGCATAAAATATGAAGATGTCTAGATCTGTCCAGACTTACCCAAGACAAACAATTACCACAAATGTTACAGTGGCTGTGTAGTGACCAAACATAGCGATATACATGTTGTGTACATTGTAGCACACAACACTTCAGTCCCAGTAACGTTACATACTATATTAACGCTACTGGCTCCATTGTGACTTCAGGGGGAAAATCTCATATCTTAGTACATGCAAGGACCTTTCATGAAAGCTCCTACGTACATGAAAGCTCCTACGTACAGTGCATGTGCACGGTATAAACCAATGACTATCACATGCCTAATATTTACCATACTGATCAATCTTATTCAATCAGTGTCGGCACTTCTGAGAAACCAGACGGATTACTGAACTAATCCCAGAGTGCTGAATAACATGTGATTAGACAAAATTGGGCATTCCCCGAAAGCACGTGGGATAACAATTTGTGTTTATACGCAGTCTTATCGATCGAAAGATGACCTCGATCGACTTTTGGGGCCAAATTAAGATGTAACAGGTGTAACGTTCAAGCCTCTGTTTTTCGACACAAGCTTGCTGCTTTCACAACTAAAATGGAGCTATGGAAAAGGAGCGATTAGAAAAACAACAGCAAAACAGCTTATTTTATTTCTCTGTAACGTTACTATTCGAATTTTGGATCTTGTACGCATTAGATATTGTCGCCAAACTGGCGATGTTTGGGTAGCTAGCAAATGCCCCCCTCCCCACCATAATTTTAGCAGACGACAGACAGACGTTGCGAAGCTATAATTTGTACTCACCACAGTTTCCGACACTTTAGTTATCTCCAGACGGGTCGCAAGAAACGTAAGACCTTCTGTGTGCATCACTGAACATCGCACTTGGCGATCTACGGAAAAAGAAACAGCGCACGGGCACAAGATTTCGCGTCGAGCTTTCGGTGTTACGAGATTATGATGATGATGATGCATTGCCTCTCACTCTCAGGCGCTCCGAGCATGGAGTACCGCCAAGAACCGCAAGGAGATTTTTTGTCACACTATTATGAATATGATAATATTTAAAAATCCCCGACTTTGTCTGTGAGACACAAATATACAAAAGTAACGCCCTCCTTTCAATGAGTTGTTGGTAAAGCACAAATAAGGAACATCAGGACCATCCTAACACATTATACCGTCAGAATAAAGACACATCACTTGGGATATTCTTGTCAGTGGTTTATTCAATGAACGAGAACTTGTGATAACGGCAAAAACAGTCAAAGTTGGCCTACATGGCCTTCAAGCAACATTAATTGGAAAGTGATATTGACAGACATATAGACATTGCTTTCCTTATCAATCAACTAGGTTTGATGACAACTCTTCAACATTTGGCACATTTCATTTTATCGTACACTTGTTGCCTAAGTTCATTTACTATTGTCTAAAAGCGACCAAAGACATCCATTTAACAGTTTATAGTCATGTTACTACCGTTTTCTTACCATTTCTTTGTTTGTTGTTGGTACTCTAAGATCTCCAATTGGCCAAGCAGAGGTTTAGGCTTCAACTCAGTTTTGTCGGGCTTTCGTTTTGTACTGATATCTTTTTAGTTTAGCAGGCAACAAAAGACTATCATGATTTTTGTTTGCCTTCATTGCATTTTCGACATCCACCCACCCCAATAGCCCTTCATTTCGTTTGTCCAAAAAAAATCGGACCAATGATTTTAGCAATTTTCAGTTGGCCAAAACAACTTGCAATGTGGCATCAGAATATTTCGGCCCAAACAGGAACAAGACAAATCGAGAGCTCAAGCTTTGGTCCAGACGGGTTTTTCGCTCCTGTCCTCCCCGAGGATGCTCCTGGTGTGTTTGTTGTGGTTCACAATCTCCCACCGCAGCATCCAGGGTCCCTGTATGGTCGTGTCGAATTCGTCCTCGGCTCCGGCTTTGTTGTTCTAGAGAAAAGAGAGAGCGAGACATCGTTTCGTAGATGAAATGCACACATTTGCTAGTTTCTTGCGTGTACTTGATGAATCGGAGAAAACTTGAGCCACCCACTGTCGTTTATTATCTAGAGTGTATCATTCGTCATTCCATGTACCTTGTGTTTAGTCATTTGCTCAACCTTTATGATCTTAGATTTCATATAATGAAGATAACTTTTCTTTTTGCCAAACATTCTATATTGATTTGCAAGCTTCTACTGGTATGGGGGTTACTATCCATACAATGAAACCAACATGGCCTAAATGGAGTAGAATAATTTTAATCTGTTATGTCAGACGCAGTCTACTCATGAGAAGATGAGAAGACCTCAACAAGTACGTAAGTAATGTAGGACAATGTTGCGCAAACTTTGTTCGACTTTCAGCACCAAGGACAGTACCAGCTAATTGTTTTCCACGGAGTTAAAAAAGGAATCTCACTTACGAAAGAAAGGAAGAATTTGCTATTGCACCGTTTCTGCCATATTATAGGAAATAAAAATTGCAGAACCGGCCTTTACCATCTGCCTCTGTTGGTTGCCAGTCCGGTCCACCGACTCAAACTTCTCCCAGTCTGGTTTTAGATCCGGGTACTTGGCTGACCGCATGGGGATGACGTCTTTGATGCCCTCGAAGCCGCAAGGCTTGTCGGGATGCTGCCAGCGAAGGTCCAGACTCCATCGGATCTGGTCAGTATTGTTTTCGAGGCTGTGACGTGGAGATGTTAGCATTTAGCCTCTACCAGGCTTCAAGAAACGGCTGGAAATAGTGGAAATTTGGCCAAAAAGACAGATAGCTTCGGGAGAGGCAAACTGTTCTGTTAGTGCGGACAACTCCCCAGGCACAACATATGTTTAGTTGGCCAATTTTTACTCTTTTCCAGTCGCTTTCCGCAGGTTGGTAGAGGCTAGTTATCATTAGTACATATTCGTTATAATCACTGAAAGTCACAATCACTCTTAACATGATAAAGGACATAATATATGTCAAGATATAATATAGGATAGGATAGAGTTGCGTTCCATCGGATCTGGTCAGTGTTGTTCTCCAAACTGGGACGTGTAGGTATTATCATTAGCACATGTAACGCGTTACATATAATCACTTAAGTCACAATCATATAAACGATATCATACATATCAACTGTACTTGGCGGCAGCGAGTTCCAATCTACGATAGTTCTTGGAAAATACGAGTTTTTCAACACCTCAATCCTTGGTTGATAACTCTGGTACTTGAAGGCATGACTATTTATTGTTCTTTTCTGAGCTGCTATTAGATACTTAGTAGTTGGTACGTTCACCAGTTTATTAGTCAATTATCATCATGATAGGCATTTTCGCCTGTCTTCCAGGGACACCCACCTTCTATGGGGAATTGCGTTGTTTAGGAACAGGACACCTCCGTATGGAACCTCGCAAGTGACGATGTCATTTTTGAGATCACATCCTGAAAAAGAAATACTCTTATTGACGGGCGGTTTTAACATACTGTAAACAGAACAAATGAAAAGTCGTGTAAAGATACCCGCAGCTAGAATTCATAGTATACAGAAAGACGTACCCAGGGTGTTTTGAATCTCGTCCTCGGGTAGTTCCACGTACCAGGTCCCCCCGACGCAGCACACGTGCTTACCGGTGATCCCTTTCCTGTGTCCGCCCCTCACTACCTACAATACAGAGATACCAACAAGCAAGTAAACAATACAGACTACAGAATATGAATATTCATTTTATGATATGGTGATATCAGAAACCAATTATTTACAATGTTTTACAGTTCTCCGAAGAACTCCAGTCAGGAGCTCCGAGGATGGTGTCTGATAGACACACGAAACGTAAGCAAGGTGAGACGATACTGGTTGTGTAAAAGAAAACTTCTGTATCCTATACTTCACCAACCTGATGAAATTATTTTCGGAAATGTTTCAAAGTGTTTAAAACATTCGGGATTGGGGCGGGAGGTTTGGTCATGGTTGGCAGGTGTTCGGCAGCAGAACAATGCAACGATTTGGGAGTAATTCACCATTTTGGGAGTGTGTTCGGGGGTCAAATTTGACTCAAATTTAACTCAAATTCGTTTCTATTCTAATCGAAAGATAGTCAGACTGCTCCCAAATATCAGTCGAACATGGTCGGCTAGTGTTCGGGGAAGGTCGTGAATGTGTGACAGGGGCTTTACCCACCTGCATGCAGCCGTTGTCTGTGTTGGCGTCTAACAGTGGGATCCAGGCGGTGGGCTGTAAGGTGCCGAGCGACTGGACGCCCAGGTAGGCGTTATCTGTGTTGTAATGGTTTTGTTTAATGTATGATGAACACACAGAATATAACGTTATATACGTATATATATCAACTGAGTTTAAAAGAAATAGTGAGAGTCAATGGTGCATGCGAAGTAAACTCCAGGTAGGTTAGGTAACGGTGAGGTACAGCTTTTAAAAGGATTTCAGAGAGGCTATGCCGGAACTGACCATCGGCAATGGTCTATGACCACACAGTCACAAGAGAGATGGATCCAATACTGTCCTAATAATACCATAACTTATAAGTGTCGTACAGAGAATGCGAAGATGTCCTTGAAGAAGAGACAACATACGTACCTTGATGCCACGGGACAGTCACTTCTTCGTTACGAGGTGTCTGTGGAAACAATTGGCCACAAAACTTAGATTAGAAACTTAAAAAAATTAAAGATATGGGACTATTCATTAGCCACCTCCAAAGATGAGATGAAACGCTCTAGTCATGTAAGTAGAAACATCCGTCTAATAGATGTATAGACCAGACACTTTTTCCCTTGTGCGTATGATAATTGTATGTTCCCTTGCAATTAGCCTTCAAGAGTTTGCAATAAAGTCTGCAGTGCACCAGACAACATTACTGGTAACTCTCGATATCATTGCACTTTATCTGAAACCTTTGAATAGCTACGTACGTAAAAGAGCATAAAATCAAGCCAGTAAATGCACTGTACCTTGGTACGAAGGTTCCAGATCGGGTGCCCGGCTATCTCCGGCCCTATAAACTGTTCCATGACGTTCAGGAGCCGCTCGTTGGACCACAGGTCTCGGAAAGCCTGATGTTCAAACATACAAACACAGGAATCACGTGTCGGTGTCACTGAACTTTTCAGAGTGTTATAGGGTGTTTGCGACTCACGTAACTCAGTAATAAGTACTGTTATTTTGTAATAATTGTATACAGTTTAACGATATTTTCCCACCACAGTTATAGAAAAGAGCACATGCCCTTCCCGGTTTTTCAAACCTTACAGTCTGGTCTCGGATTCGACATCTTGGAAGAGATGATAGTCACCTGTAGGAATTTGTACCTAAACGTTGCATCAGGTACAGGTACAGGTACAAAGGATCAGGTACAGGTCCAGACCTAACCTACATGTACATGTATACCCATATGGGAACAACTTCAATAAACAAAGGTCAAGGCCTTATAACTCACCTGTTATGCCAATCCTTCCAGAAATGTGGTACAAAGTAGATCTTCATAAAAAGATAGATAAACGAAGGGAGAGATTAGATCCGAACCTGTGGTAGTTTCCCCTTCTTGTGCAGGACGACTGCCGCGCCAGGGTACTCCTGGTTGAGCAGAGTCAGGCGCTGGAAAAGGCCCGCATCCTTGTGTGTGTCTGAAGGGTTATAAAAGGAAAACGGGTCAAACTAGATTTTAAAAATGCATCATATAGAGGCTTGATCTTCCAGAATAATTTTATTACCATTTCAAAGTGCAACTGTACAAATACCATAATCTTCAAGCAGATCTTTCCGTGGCTACAAAGACAGTATCAAACTTGCCAGACAGCTACCATTTGCCACCATTAAATTGGGTGGCTGAAGAGGACTCGTTAGATGGCCAGTTCTAACCGTAACGATTTGCCGCCAGACATCTGCTTGGAAACCACACATGCTCTATAACGTATAAGGAACGATATACGTTATACGTCCCAAACGTCCCAAATACGACACTGTATCTGTATCTGTATCTGTATGGCTGGTATAACCGCCGTTCTGCGTAACAAACCAGCTTCGCAGGCACGCGGCGCGGCGGCAGCTGACTACATTACACCGATCGACTTGTTACACCTAACCCTTGAACATCTAACTCTGAACATTGTTTAGAGCTACACCACGACTCATAGGCTAGCCTGTCTCACCTTTTATCCTGCCAGCCTTGTACATGCGCTGTGCCAGATCGTCCACCAGCCCCTCGACAGCGTCTCTCACTGGCTGCAGTTCCTCTGGCTTGAAGTAGTCCTTCACCAACACGTACCCCTGTATCAGACATGATTATAAGAATGTAGACGTGAATACAGAAGAACTTTGTTGCACGACGATTGATGGCTACAACTATTGAACTGTCATCCCGGCGATTCAGGTTTTTGTGGGTCGATTTTATACTTTGTTACCCTCTTCGAGACAACTCCATAGTACTCGTATAGTCTTATCTAGGTTATTATCTGACACTAGTGACAGGCATCAAGGCACATTGCCATTTCGGCAGCATATTGGCGTTCATTATATATATTGTTCATGTCTTGTCAATTTCTAAACATTTCATGTTTGTGCTTTTGTCTGTGCTGACATTACCTTCCGATACCCCGGTGCAAAGTGCAATTTCCAAAACAGCAGTCTTTTTAAATAAAACGCTGTCTGTGCGTAATCGTTGAATCTGTTTCTTTACGATGTATAATATTACGTACACATGTGGCGGTATGTGTGTACGCTTTCTGTGAATTGTACTAAAACTGGATATCCGTATATTGTGAAATGCTACGTACGAGAATGACTATAGCGACTGGTCAAAAGCTATGGTTGACAATTCTCTTGGGTTTGAACAAAAGTTTTACCTTTAAACATATAACTATCCAGCCTGGGTGCCATCCTATTTGTATGCTGGGGCTCCCTTACACGCTTCCTTAGTATGGGAGGCATACAAAATAGGATGGTACCCAGGCTAGTAACTACAAACACAGGTGAACTTTCATGGTGCTTATAATTCAGACTTAAGCATTCAAAGCTGGTTGAATAAACACTCACTCAATCAATCCTTCATTTACTCACCTCCTCGAAGAACTGCCTAACTTGTTCCTGGCTGAGCTGGCCCGGTTTCTTCTCGGTCGGCTGGGGAGGCGGGACGGTGTACACCTCGGGACAGCACACCGGGGTCGCCGCCTCCTTCCCCGGTGCACCGTCTTTAGAGCCTGCGTCAGCCATGTTCGCGGGTACGACCCGAACTCGGTCTTTGGACGTTGTCGAACGGGTTTTGTTTACTAAACGAGCAGGTACGGGACGGTGACTGCTCGGGCCAAGGACACGTGAGGGAAAAGGGCTTCGGCTTCATAGTACAATGCTGAACTTTATTCAAACACAGAGGGTACTCGTACACAGGGATCAAATTTTTCAACGACCACTGTAGCCTTCATTAGGAAGAGGCTTCAGCTTTGTATTTAAACTGGATTTAGAAGGACAACGTTTGCGAATACAAATGGCTTCACTTTAATTAAGTTCCGTATGACATGTCTTAAAGATTGGAGGTCCTTCTACCTTTAACCTAAAAACTTTTTAAACTTCTGACTTTTAACCTCCCTTCCCCTATTACGACGTTTTGGTCGGTCGTTGAACTTTAAACCTGTCGACGTGCAAAACGTGTAAGAACAGTGTATAAAAATGGCGTCATGTGGATAAATATTAGCTTACTGACCGGCAGGTCATTCACCCTTTGTCAGTTCGTGACAATAGAGAACTAAAAGATAACAAGTAACGATAGCTTTATGTACCGTGTAGGAAAACATAACTCAATGTAAATGCTCCAATGATGATACAATAGTAGAAATAACGTTACATAAAAACAAAAGTCCCAACATACAAGTTTATTCTCGATCTCATGATCATTAAACAAACTTAGGCATGCAACAAATTTGAGTGAGATCGCAAAGACATAAGGTGCCAACTATCAACATAGTCATGGAACTACTAGTACAAAACGCTGTATACTCGTAACGTTACACATATACAGACAGTTCTGTATACGCCGTTAAGATATAAAGCATTACAAACCCTTAGAAGGATCCCAGATAAGGAAAAGGGCATCTGGCTTGTTTCAGAAATCCAGTGTCCAGAATGTATATTGAACTGTCACGTTTGATACCATGGTCTTGTTGTTAGTCGGATGGTCGCCAGGCCAACAACTGTGCCCTACGCTTTGTTACGAAACCAAATAACTACGGTGTTGTTCTACAACAAGATGTCATAAAGGTCAACCCAGGTAACGTCCGTTACTTCGTTTCGAACGCTTCAAAACAACAGAAAACAATTCCTGTTGAAAACAAATCCTGAGTGATTTTGAGGCACTAAGTGAAAACTTGCTTTCAGGAAGTCAAGAAACCCTATCATTTTTTGATAATGAGTGCAGGAGTCGCCGTCGGACAATTGGGTAAGGAGAAGGAGGAACAACATCTTCTAACAGGGTTGCAAGTTGATGTAATTCCCAGAAACACTAACTCTCAGCAGCCGCCAACAAGACAACAGACGCTACCATCACTATGCGATTACAGTTGGAAACTCAGAACTCCAGTATCTCTCACTCAAGAGGAGTTAAAGTCTGCGTCTGCGGCCTGGCTCCCCGGCCAGCTATCAGAGGACGGCAAAGAACTCAACTTCTTGACCGAGAACGACACAAAGTTCATGTTACGCTGGGCGGAGGGTCTTCTCGCCGAAACAACGGAGTTTCAAAAGTCTGAATCAGATCTACTGAAGACAGTTAACAACGGAGAAATGGGAAAGGCTAAGCAAGGGGTTAATCAGCAGGGTTGTTTTCCAGTTTATACACAGGCACAGCGTCAGGAAACCCCCATCAACAGCCAACACCTAGGCGATCCTTTTCTGCCACGAAATACGAACAAAACTCCCAACAAGCGGACGTTCCCGTCGTCGCAAAAGTGCACTCCGTCTCTAGCCTGTGCGACCGCCCGACCGGATGTACAATGGTACAAATGCTGCACGGGGTCGTCTACGGATGACATAGTAGCGCAGTACGCGTCTGGTAGAACCGTGAACGTTTTGCAACTGGACGGGGTCTTGTTCACTTTCGACGATCCACAGGCAGTGCAAGCCCTTTCCACTCAGAAGACAGGCGATGTAAATGTAAGTGTAGCAAAGTCCGGTATACATCATAGCAAAAAGTTAAGTTAAAGCCCTCCCGCAACCATTAGCATGGTCGCATATGGCGGCGCCCATCTCCGTTTTGTAGCCCTTGGGCCACACAGTTGTGCAATCACTACAGCAGGGGGCTAGTCCACTGGTAGCGGTATGTGTTTAACTCCCATGCTATTTCTCAAATGCTTTCTCATAGCAAAAAGGATGGATGAAATTTAAAAAAAAACATTGGTAAATGGGAAAATAGATTTAGCGTTAAAAACAGTGGATAGCATTATACAACTTCTGTTTGTATAATTGTTATTCTTTCCTCATATCCAAGTGTGCAGCTCATTGTTTTTTGGTTTTATTTATTTGTTTGTTTTTTGTTCTTTTAGTATCAGTTTTTCTGTATGATTATCTTGTGTTTATGGAAATTAATAAAAAAAAATAATGATTTGTAAAAAAAAAAGTCCAGCAGGCGTCCCGCTTGCCGACGTCAGCTCTGGCCAGACGATCAGCAGAACACTACAAGAACCCACGACATTACAGAGGGGGCACCGTGGTACTTCAACTTTCCTCAGAAAATTAGAGGTACTTTTTCATGACACTGCATAGAATAAAATTGTCTTCGCTGATGTGCATATCAATCAATCAATCTATCAATCAATCAATAGTTCGGGCTTATAAAACTGCTTTTCTGACAATTCTCTAGTGTCACTGACGAAAGCTAGTGGATGCTACCTGAAACGTCTGACCGTTTCCAAAATCATATCCAGTTGCTTGAGTAACTGTTTTTTTTACGTACTGAATAGAATAATCCATTCAATTTCTTGTGTAATTAGCCTCACTCGATTGTAACACAATATCAATGACTTATGTTTTAGTAATTAGGATGTTGAGTTTCATTCTACACCTCTTTTTTTGTACCATATTCAATAGTTGCTGCCATACATTGTACCATGTACAATTGTCGTGCAATATTATAAAAGTTCTTCTGTATGAATTTTGAATCCTTCTGTTCAAGGCGGTACATCGAAACGTCCCATGGACAGCACAACAGATAGCAGTGAAGCCCCCACTCCTATGCCGCACGGGGAGCACCAGCAAGCGGCACCCATGGCACACATGGCCAAGCGGCGTCAACTCGACAGGAACAACAGAACCTACAAAGGCTCAGGACTACAAGCCTGAACTAGTACACATCACAGCTTAGCTTACCATTCACGCCATATACTTTTTTACATTAACAATATCATATAATATATAAAGTCTATGAGAATAACCTGTTGCAAGATGCATGGACATATCTCGTAGTTTTGTCATCATCATCATAGTTTTGTATGGGGACTTGGACAATAAATAATGAATGCAATTGATAGTGCTGTGTATTTATCTGTATCGGTATAGCCAGTATAACCGACCTTCAGCGTAACAAAACAGCTTCGCAGACACGTGGCGTGGCGGCAGCTAGCTATATCACACCGAACGACCTGTGAGACCCACTCTTTGCACATTTGATTGGCGGAGTTGTTTAAGGCCTTCTAGTGATATATTTTATGACGCTAGTACTGTTGTGACTGTTGGTAGACAGTGACCTATGGAAACCTGATACTGGTACGACCTTTATAATATGTGCGTCATAGAACCCAGCTGCCATACAGTCTCAGGGTGACTTTCCTGGATAAACCGATAGGTGGCCACAAGAACGTACCGTGATTTTAAAGACTCGTGCGTGGCCTTCGCTTGTTTAATGTGTCTGAAACTTACACTTTCCTTGCATGTCAGTAGAGTCTGGTAAAGTACATGTATGTTGGATTCTAGACAAATCTATGGCTCAGTGCGCAAGACTGCCCCATTGCCCACCCCCCTCCCGACCCAAATATAGCTCACATAGCTCCCATTCCCTGTCGGCCGAGTTAGGTGTACATGTCATCCTCCCCCTGTTTTTCCTCTGCTTCAAAATCTGCGTCAAGACTGAAGTCCCCAGCCGCTAATAAGCCATCCAGTCGCTTACAAGACTCTCCGGAATACTTGGGCATTACCAAAAGCTGTCAAACTCGGATGCTGAGAATACTTGTCTGTTTGCATACGCCAGAAGGTAAGGATTACGCTTTATATCCCCATAGGCGGTGCAATGACATACATACACTTAGCTAAGTATATATAGATGTAGAAACATGAAGAGGGAGGGGCCTACATATGTTCCCACATATTATCAGCTGCGAAACATTTTGATGGCATTCGTGGCTGGTGTTGGCAAGTTCTTATCTTCCCAATACGCGCGCATATGGTAGGGTGGAAAGACGACCCAGTTCAGTTAGGCGTATATGGGACAGAGATGAAATATCATGTTTCGTATGAAGTTGGAAACAGTGAAGTGCTGCTCTACATCACACGCAGTGTACAGAAAAATTATTTTAAAACCACCTTATACAACTTCAGACAACTTTGAGCGTATTTTGCAGGCTCCTTTGAGTTGCAAAAACACCTTTAGTAGTAGCAAAAGTAGAGTGACTCTAACCAAATAACGGACTAAACGGGAACTTTCGGTAAAGTCATTCTCTGGAACAAGATTTGCATACATTTGTAATAACCATTTGATACAAACGCATCAAAAAGCCATGCATGGATGAGAAAATGTTGACTCATGACATGATATATAATTTGTGTCCATAGCTAATGACAAAAATACGTGCCAGGGAAGCATTCTTAAAACTCAATTTATGGTGACCCAGACAAACATACATCAAATGCGATTACGCACTTATTTCTAAGTTAGATGCATGACAACAGATATAGATATTTCATACAAGAGCATATCTATGAGATGAGACATGACAGCTACAATAATTATAAATATCTTTGTGGTAATTCGAAGAGTTTCTGATTCTCTGATTCAGGTCGAAGCGACTAGGATCGACAAGGATCATCAAAGTAGAGTGTGGCTTATTTATGTGTGTGTGGGGGGGGGGCATGATACCAGTGAGGCTTGTCACTTTCAAAGATTGTTTCTTTCACAGTTTAAAATCTCTTAATTCAATTTGTTATAAAGATAGAAATTCGATATGTTTTCAAATCTCTTAAACACGGAGGTTTACTTCTTCATAGATGCTGAAGAAAGTGTTGCGTCAAAACAAATATGGTGGAATTTTATATATGGACGTTATGATCATAACACATGTTTGACATCTTCCATACATGACTCCATCCAAATTGAGTCAGACCACAGTTTCCATAAGGGCTAGGGGTTAAATAATTGTTTTGTGCGTGTGCGTGTGTGATTCTTACTCCTTCAAATTAATATCTGTGAGGAAACATATGGCTCAGCATTGTTTGATTAGTACGCTATTAAGCGACACTGACACGTCTGTGCATGTACGGGTATTACCTATATATCATATGCCCAACAACAGTTGCTCAAGCAACTGGATATGATTTTGGAAAACCATATCCAGTTGCGTCAGTAACGTTTCTTGGTGTATCTTATAAACCCTTGTCCTGCTGTGCGCAACATATGTCGCGCGGCACATACAGTACCATCTATATAACACCCTGTATAGGTACGATTTGGGGGTATTTCTCGTGCAACGTATCACACCGCAGCGAAACGCAACGAATGCGAAAGTAACTATGCCACTGCAGGGCAAAAAATTGGGGGTCTATGATCTAATTAACACATGAAATTATTGAAAAATATCGTGCCAGGAATGCCAGCAGGACAAGGGATTTATTACTTGGATGTCTAGCCTACACCGACGTATTATACCGACATCAACCTTGCAATGTTGTTAGCCACTATTGCGATCCACATACGCATGTCAGGGTTATCGACCGTAAACAGACGTGTCCCATGCCCACAACACAGCGGGAGGCTTCTATGGGAGTCATTGACCTCAGCAACCGAGTTGACATTCTTTATTTCTTTATTTGAATTTACCACATGCAAAAACAAGTGGAAGGGAGAACAAAACAGGTGTATCAACGCCTTTACAAGTTGTCCTCCCAAACCTGAAATGATAATACAAAACAATACGAAACCAAGTCAAACAATAAACATTAGACATAAAAAATCAGTACACATGAAATATACAATTCGGTAAAAATTATACACAGAATTAATTATGTACAAAAATTATCAAACATTGTGGAGGAGTTTGGGGTTGCAACGTGATTGGCCGAGCTCGCTCACATGACATTTTGTTTTTGTTTTCTTTTTATTCCACAGATATTGATTCATAATCAAAACCGTGTGACGGAGAGTTTCTACCCCATAAGGTAATATTGACTGCATATATGTTTCACCTCGCAATAGTGTACTGTAAATCAATAATTTTATTTCTCCTGAAAGTTAAGATACCGGAGTAGCTTGCCACTCCCTTCATGCAACAATGGATGTGATATACTATTCTCTAATTTAGATGAGAAGCAAATTATTTAGATACATTGTGGTTGAACCGCCATTAAAACAACGTTCATCAATTCTATTTTTCACATGCTTAAATCATCCATTGACTTGGACAGAGGGTTGCGCACAACGCAAATGTTTCTTTTTACGCGCTTGCTTCTTTCTTCCTTTTTTTTCTTGAATAGGTTTGCATCCATGACATCGTTTCTGTGCCATCATCTTTCGTTCTCTTCTTCATGCTTTTCTCATACACCATGCAGTTTACCGCATATAAAGGCATATTTGAACAAACCTTGCTGCTATGTTCGGCTAGCTCTGCAATGTAACATTTACTTGAGTTGGACGTCCGGTCAGTACCAATTCAGGATTGAAGTGGTACAATCCCGGCGCTTCAGCCGAAGCGGTGCTGACTGAACATAACAGCAAGCTTTGACAGCGCCTCATTCCATAAAACCCATCGCAGTCTGTGCTACCCTCTCTCTGTGAAACGAGGGGCGTATTCAAACATCAGACAGAGACACAGATGCAAATTGCAGACCTTTAACATGACTAACTGTAGAGATACGATACGTATTTTTTCCATATATTGTTCCCTCATTGGCGGTAGTTCGCTACTAACTGCTTGCCGTTGAAATGCACTCCGCCTGCACATAACCCTAAAGCAGATATAGCACAGGTATCCCTGTCAGGTGATGTCAAAACACCACTGAATATAAATATAAAAGGCTAGCACTTGAACATGATCTGCATGGCGTTTAAACCTTGCACTGTAGATTCTTAGCGTAACATCCAGCAACTTTCATAACGGGCTCACCAGCTTGCAAGCCTTTTTCTTTGGACGATCAAACATAACGACCAACTGCTGACCTGGGATAATGACTTGCCAATGTCAACTAGGACTGTTCATAACGTTACAACATGTAATGACACGAACCTGTCTTGTAGTGTGTAGTTTAGCCTAATCTTTATGACTGTTTGATAATAAATTCAGTGTTTAGTAGTACATACCAGAGCATCACCACTAAGTATGAGTACCGTGTGTCGTAATCTGACAATGCTTAGTACGTCCACACCCCAGTATCGCCCTTAATATAGTCTGGGTGCCAGACCTCAGCTCAACACAAATCTCACTTCAGCTGGGTTAAGTGACAAGCCCCAGTCCCGGAGTTAGCACCTGGGGGTCTAATTTATCTCTCAAGTCGGGTTGCCCAGCGTCTATATGAGGGGGTGTCTGTGGTAAAATCTAAGCCGATGAGCCAGCCTGTATACTGCCCCTGGCGACAGTCTGGCACCCAGGCTACCCTTCATAGGACGCTAACAGTTGTGCCTGTGTCGTCTGTGACTGACAGTCGATCGGTTGTTGTTTTACGCCCCTCTCATCACTACAAACAAAACGTCCCCTTCCTCCAAGATGGGGATTTGTTACAGCACAGAAGTAGTGCGCAGCACAGACGACGATGGTGCCCCGCCCGAGGTCGGAGCTGTGACCACCCGCCGCATCCTGATCAAACGGTACAAGGACCCGTTCGGCAGGGTGGTGAAGGAAGAGGTTTGTTTGTTTGTTTGTTTGTTTTCTTCAGGAACCCCCAATTAGTGACAATGCACCACTACTCTTTCTGGAGTCCTCTTACATACATTACATTGTAAAATACAAGCATTATAACATCTATTTATATTCGCCATCTTATAACAATACCGATAATACAATAATCGTCATTAAGGTACCTTCTGCACATTTAACATCAATCGATAGCCTCATCAAAGAATATTACATAAAATGTTAGAATGGATTATCATTCGCTAGTTTTTTGAGAGTAACATACACATTAATAATAATAATATTACATTATACAAGTTAACCAAAACTTTTCATGTTCTAAGTGTTCAGAGAGGTCAGAGGCCATGAATTTCTACAAAAGTAGGTTTTATTGGCAGGTCATTCACCTGGACGGGGATGCCGACGACGACTTCCCGGACTTTCCCGAGCTCAACATCGGCCCGAAGCCGAAGCCACGAGTGGAGCCGCGTCCGCGACTTCGCGTTCAGGTTCGAATATTTATGTCTACCGAAGGAAAGCATATTGTTTTTGCTACGTTTCCTCTTTTTCTCCAATCCAAAAAGGTCAAAGGTATTTTAGCATAGTTCATGTATCTACCCTTGTTGTTTCTTCTTTGCCATACATTTACAGTTTACAGTTTAAAGTTCTATTCAGAAAATCAACCTTGCAGGATGTATATGTACAACAAGCTGGATTACACTGATTTGTGCAATCATTATCATTATGTGGCAAAAAAAATCAACATTACATACAAAACAGAGAAAACACAAGCAAAGCCATACAGAATGACTCACTGTGGGCGCTGAAGTAAAACAAGAACGTCCAAGAATAGTCTTACTGGATAGACTTGTTTTACAGGCGTATGGCCTGGTGCAGGAAAGAGTTTTTTAATCTTTGTGTACCCCTGTACTGGCATTTTACCACTGCACCAGCTACATATTGTTGAGCAATAAAGTTGATTTGATTTGATTTGATTCGTTCAGGCCCCCGAGCCCCAGCCTCAGCCTCAGCCGAAACCTCAGCCCCAGCCCAGACGTAACCTGCACAAAATCCAGGGTCCGGCGTGGGACGACAAGAAGCTACATCCTCAGAGGGGCAGGTCTGGGTAAGTACTGGAGAATTCTTTTATTATCGAGAAGAGGAAGGAGGGAAGGAAGAAAAGATCACGTATTAAGGGAGTAACTTAGCTTTATAAAGCGAGAGAGTGTACGAGGTAAAGGCCAAAATTCAGCAGGTGGGACACGTAGACGGGCACGAAAGAGAAAAGGGGGCAAGGAGAACAACACACACACACAGAGGGCCATGAAATCTGTAGAAGAGCGATGTCGCTAGCGATGTCATGGTATCAGCGTCTTTTACTTACTGATTTATCTAAGGAACAAGTGGGTTGCCCCATTAATCTTTAGACTGTTTTCCATGAGAGCTCACTAATAAGAATAATGAATTACAAATAATAATATAAATATTACTTTCGTCCATTTGTTTTACCCTGTCTTGTGTAGGTCTACCATCAGTAGAGACAGCGGCATTGTAGACGAGGCTGACGACGGGCTGCTGAAATGGCGGGAAAAGGAGAAGTTGGCGCCAAAACCTCCGGAGGCGCCGGAGCAGGAGGAGACAGTCAGGAGAGACGACCTGGCAGATGAGGACGACCTGGGCGTCACGGTAGGTCTCTCAGATGTACACATTTAAAAAAATTTAAACATTAATACGGCACAAATTGCGAATGCACTCAAGTTACTAAGATATTTTTGAACGCAAGCCCAGGTTTTAACCCAATGACAAAACGATAAAATGATAGGACACGGTACAAACTCCAAGAGAAAATTAAGTTTTAGATGTATACAGTGGGAGATGTCTGATCTTTTCTGTTGAAATGCAGATTCAACCCCACTATTACCAATACGAACACTTAAAGAATATACAGATACTTCATTTTTCCTTCAGAACGCACTTGTCATGGGTTGTGATATTGTCTTCTGCTTTATTGGCAAATAGATATTAGATAAGTACCACGTCTCAACGTAACTTTTTTTCGTTTTCGGTTTCAGCTGGTGAGTAAACTAATGCATGATAGCAGCCGTGTCCTTGTGGTCATTACATGTTGTTTGTCCTCCCTGTTGCCATAGATGCCATATACAAACATGAATGTCACTTAGCCTTTTCCTACCCACGTTCCATTTTGCATTTCACAGAACGATTTTATATTGTCATAACTACTGTTACGTGACGTATATTGTGGCAAATGTAGTTTAATGAAATCAGATGTTATTTATTTGTTCACTAACACTATCGTCATGTCGCCCTGTCTACTGTATCTTATTCTAGCTTGCCTTCTATGTGTCCACTCTTAGAAACCTTGCCCTCTCATATAATTACTGTTACATATATAGTGAAAAATGTTGGTTATTTGTTCACTAATGCTGTCTTCATATTGTCTTGTCTATCTTAGTCTAGCTTCAAGTTGCCTTCTACGTATCCACTCTTAGAAACCTTGCCCTCTCGTATCACACTTTACTGATACTTTCCCTGCAAACGTTGTAGCTCTCTCTTGTGCTTCTACATTCAATCTCTGTCGCCTGTCCTCTGTCCTTGCTTCTTGCCTTCGTGTCTCTCACGATACTAAAGAACTACAAGCGGATGAAGAGTCAGATCCTCGCCATGGGCCCCGGAGCGCTTTACTCTGACCCGGACTTTCCCGCCAGAGCCTCGTCACTCTTCTACAGCAACCAGAACATGGACCCAAGGATCGTTTGGAAGAGACCACAGGTAAATGTACCGCAGGTCGGGGATAGAAGGAACGTCACTCGGAATCATCCAATATTGCGCCAGACCTATAGCTAAAAGATTAGAAGGAACAGTGGATGGTATTAAGTTGCGCAACAAATTACGCGTTCAGCACCAAGGACAGGGATAATGTTACTTCTTAGGAAAATCTCTTCGGGCTGCGGTCTTTTTAGTTCTGTAGGTAGACCAAGCACTTAAACGAAGAGTGGGGTTAGGAACAAGGAACATAAATCAGAACCATCTAACAATGTCAAAGACCTACAGTGGCTGGTATGAAGCTGAGCAAATCGGTCTGGCACAACGGCTTACATGATCAGCACCAAGGACAGGGATATGGATAGTTCTTGCGAGTTAGGAAGACGAACAGCACTCAGAACTAGAACCACCCAACATTACCACAGACCTAACGTTATAGCTAGAAGATTAGAAGGAAAGGTGGATGGTAAAGTTGATAAAGTCGAGTAGAACGGTATGGTGCAACGGCTTGCACGTTCAGCACCAAGGACAGGGCATGATTTTCTTGGGGAAATCTCTTTGGGGCCTTAATGATTTCCACACGTTTTTATGACGGACAAATACAATTAACTTTCTGCATTTCTAAGGGCGTATCCATATTACTTATATTAAATGACACTGTCCTAAAACTCACTCATTGTACCTTTATTATAACTGATCACATTTTTCTCCAAAGGAAATTATGGGAGTGACGAACCCACGTCTGCTAGTGGACGGGATCAGCCGTGATGACGTCATACAGGGCATGCTGGGAGATTGCTGGTTCCTGGTGTCTCTGGCCGCCATCTGTCGGGATTCTGCTCTCATGGAAAAGGTAAAAAAAAGAACTTTAGAAACTCAAAACAATCAGCATCAACTTGAAGTCTTATACTTTAATGTTTTTGATCGGTTGACCGCTTTTTGCCATTGCCTCTCTCTTCTAGCCATTGATACAAAAGCGTCTGTTAGACCCTTGCCAAGTTAAACTTGATAAAGCTCTGTTCGACTGCAGCTAGTAACTAATGCATTGCAGCTGACCGCAAAGTTTTCGGAGGATCCTTGACAGGATAAAAGTTCAGTTCTGTTATGTCCGAAAAGATGTCGTTTGCAGAATTCTGATCCAACGGTGACCAAACAGACCACGAAACCGTGAAAAATCCCAGTTTCGCACATGTGCAGTACTTTCTGCTTACAACTCAGTTGTTCACTCAATAGCCCTCAATCTTTCCATTTTGCCAGGTCGTCCCTCGTGACCAGTTCATGTGGCAGGAGGGACAGGGCGAGGGGAACTATGTCGGCATGTTCCACTTCAAGTTCCACTTATCAATTTTAAACAATGTTTAGAGTTAGATGTTCATGTTAGATGTTAGGTGTAACAAGTCGTTCAGTGTAATGTAGCCAGCTGCCGCCGCGCCGCGTGCCTGCGAAGCTGGTGTGTTACGCCGAAGGGAGGTTATACCATACAGATACAGATACAGAAGTGACTAGTGCCTTTGTGGTACAGTTATGATTTAGAAAGAAGTGAAGTCCATCGGGTAAAGTTAAATGCATCAACATTTTGAGATTCAACATCTACGATAACCGAGTTGTTCACTCACTTTTGCCAGGTTGTCCCGCGTGACCAGTTCATGTGGCAGGAGGGACAGGGCGAGGGGAACTATGTCGGCATGTTCCACTTCAAGTTCTGGCGCTACGGGAAGTGGGTGGACACGATCGTGGACGACCAGCTGCCTACCATGGCCGGACAGCAGCCGATGTACTGCCGATCCAGCGACCCGAACGAGTTCTGGAGCGCTCTGGTGGAGAAGGCGTACGCTAAGTAAGCTGAGAACTTCCTGATCTTAACATGGGTTGCCTTAAACTTTCATTTAAACAACGTAGAGTACATCGATGAAGGTTAGACATACAGGTAATGAGATACGCATGGAATTGGTACTCAAGCAACTGGATAGGTTTTGCCAGACGTTACAAGTTGCATCCACTGATTTTCGTCATAGAGCACAGTACAAATCTCTTGGATAACACATTTTGGTATTCTTTGCCAAGTTTTCAATAATGATTCCACATTGCTGTATAGTGATTAAGAACGTTGCAAATATCTAGCAGATAGATAGATGCTTATTATAACCCTCTTACAACCAAGGAGCTCCTTGTTATAACAAATGTGTAAATTTTACCAACCATCATCAACTGAGTTGTTACTAAGGGCTATGCCGAGAACTCTATTCTGTGTGGAATATCCAACGTGACATATTTCTTTGATAAAACCATTTCTTTTTTAATCCTTTCTTGTAGACTACGAGGTTCATATGAGGCTCTGAATGGGGGCCAGGCTATTGATGCTCTTGAGGACCTGACAGGGGGGATGGCAGAGAGCTACGCGTTGAACAAGGCGCCAGGAAACCTGTACCAGATCATGAGGCGAGCCTTCAAGAAACGAGCTTTCTTCACCACCTCGAAAAAGGTAGTCCAAAGTACTAGTAATCTTCAAGTAGTCCTTTGGGTGGCTGCAAAAGACAGTAGCAGCGAGTTATAAGTGTCACCAACTGACCAGCGCAATGGGTCCTGAACCTTTTGGCCTAGTGGTTGTGCATTCGGTTGTGAACTGACACACGGCGTGGGGTGCAGGTTCGATCCCAGGAACCAGAGTAAACCTCTATGTCCTTCTGTCTTACTCTGGAGTTACAACAGTATCATATTGGCCACGCAGTTCATTATGCTACTCAAGGTGTGAGGCAGCCAATGGATACAGGCGACCAATATAGACTCCCCTTGTCCCAGAGAATCTTCTTAGAGATTAGTCAAAAGTGACTATTTGCTTTAGAAATCAATCAAATTTGTAAAATTGTTATTCTGCTTAATTGTATGCTTTCTTAAGAATGTGTGTAGAATATCTGAAACTCAGAGGTTTACCCTTTTTTTCATTTTCAGACGACACAAGCCCTGACTCAACATGGCGTCACAGCACAAGGTCTTGTGGGAGGTCATGCCTACAGTATCACATCTGTTCACATCGTAAGTTTGAAGGGGGTGGGGGCTGCGTAAATACACAGGCCTTAAAATGCAGGAAAACCCATGATAAATATAAGTAAAATAAAAGACTACAAAGAGATAAGAATAAAATTACACTGATGGCTTAAATCAATTTCAGTTTAAGTTAAGTCGGGATAGTGATAGCAATTATTTCTTAAAGATATTGATGTTTTACCAGAAAATTACTAGTATTGAGCACAGATAATTTTGCTAAATTATGATCAATCTATGACAGTAACAATCAAATACCGATACAACATGTGTATACTACTCTCAAAATTTGTTTAATACCATATGCATGAAGTCAAGCAATGATACGCAACTACACTTTCTCAACTTAATATATAAACTTCAGAAGTCTTAAGCAAAATTATGAAAAGTCTATAAGTGTATAAGTGACGGGTGCTGTTGAACAAATGTACGTGTAGGTCCACAGCAATTTTGGTGACTTCCCTCTGGTGCGGATCCGCAACCCGTGGGGCGACGGCACAGAGTGGTCGGGGGACTGGAGTGACTCGTGAGTATCCCGGAGTTACTCTCGTTGTTCCCGTCTGTTGTACGTAACCCCCCTTCCTCCTCCTTCCACATGACTGCTTTGTAAGCCCACAGCAAGTAACTTTTATGTATGATGTCCTCTGGAAACCCTAAATCTAATGCGAGAGCGCCGAAAAAGCAAGATACTTAGATTTAAGATATACTAAGGGACGTCAAATCAATCAATAGTTTTTGCTGCTTCAATCAATAGTTTGTGCTGCTTTTAAACCTGCAATTCTCCTGCAGTCTCCAGTCTCTAGTGTCACTGACAAAAGGTAGTGGATGCTACCTGAAATGCTTGACCATTTCCAAAATCTAAATCATATCCAGTTGCTTGAGTAACTGTCTTTTGGCATATATTATCACCTGGATGTCTAACCTTCACCGACGTGTCTTTTATTTGTCATGAAAACAGCAAGAAATCAGTGGGACAGCAGCTGTGATGAAATAAAATAAACAGGACAGTATAACATCTTCCCTTACCCCACTGTCGTGACTCTTTGGTCATAGTTACAAGAACTGGATTTTTTTCTGGGAACAGGCCAAAATCAATGCGTGTGGTCGTCATCCATAAGAATTACTTGGTGTGGCCTAAAGTGCAACAGTGTGGGAACATGTCGGTCAGTACAGTCTGTCTGTTTACCCTCTGTGCAAACCCCCACCTCCACCAAAGCCCAACACTTTCCTATTAAAAATGTCCCATCCAGTACAAAGTGTGTCATACCACCCAGTGACTACAGCGTCAACCCCATATGTCAAACATTTTCAGTACCATGTACACCACTCACTGTGTCTGTTAACATACCTTTCTACCCAGTCCTTCTACCTGCCTAGGTATTTAAGTATAGAACTGGATACTATATTACCCCATCCAGTACAAAGTGTGTCCTACAACCCAGTGACTACAGTGTCCACCCCATGCTAAACATTTTCAGTACCATGTACACATCCTCCCCCACTGTGTCTGCTAATCTTGTCCTGATATGTGAATCTAGAACTGGCTGCTGTTTTACCCATAAGTTATAATCTAACATCTACAGGTAAGAGAAAGTTGTTCTCCAGATTTTACATCAACGTGTTTTATCTACATTTCAACTTATGGTCTCTTGGAAGAACAGTTTAGTTAACTTGCTTTAAGCAGTAATAAAAAAACATGCTATTTTTCTGCCACAAAGTAACTTTTTTAGAAGCTATGAGATAAGTTGAAATACAGGTACCATTCAAAATGTATTACTGTAGCTAATTGACATATAGGATAGACCTTGATGTATAGGTATAAACCTTTAAAAATTGTATAGACTGAATACAAGAGGCGTTCCAAGCATTCACTTGTGATATAAGTTATAACTACTTGTTCCTGATATGACACCAGCTAACCACTATCTAACCCAACCACCACAGGAGCCCACTTTGGAACCGTGTCCCTCAACACGAGCGGGACAGAATAGGATTCACAGACAAGGATGACGGAGAGTTCTGGTGAGATTCTGATGGGACAAAACTAAAACTATCCCCTTTCTTCCCTATACCAAGGCAGTAATAGTGTACAACCAGGATGCAATGCCATTGGGTGTTCACAACATGTTAATGTTTGGGAATAGGTGTAGAGGTTGCAGTGTTGTATATATTGTAGTTATTTAGTAATGACTGTGGAATTATGATGTAACGGTTACATGTAATTTTAATGTACAGGACTTCAGGACGAGTAGTAAGCAACTATTGCTTTTTTTACTAACAGAGTTCCTAATAAACATCAAAATAAACATAAACAGGTTTTTACTTCAGAATATAGAGAATTAAAAGAAAATGGTATATGGAAAAGGTTTGTAAAAATGGTCTGGTACAACAGCTTACCAAATCAGCACCAAGGACAGGGACTACTCTTTCTTGGGGAAACTCCCTTTTTATCATCCTTTTAGTTCTGTGGAAAGACCAAGTTGAAACAAATCTGTTTGAATAATATGTAGATGCTTATCCTTTGTAGATGCTTACTGTATTGTTATGTATTGTGATATTTTCATTTGCATTCATTGTAACCCCTTTCCTCTGTACCGCACACCAAACCCTGATGAGTCAGGATGGATTTTAAGGACTTCTGCCAACACTTTACGGAAGTGACCATCTGTACGATAGGGCCAGACTTTGATGCTGATGCCATAGCCGATGTGGGTAAGTCTTACCATACAGTTAACTCTTATTATGACTCCCAAACACCATTATTACAAGTATATACTTTTGACGAATATTATAAACAATACACACAACAGAAAGTTACCTGCTAGTACACTGTAGGGAGCTTTTAAGATGTTGAATATCATGTGACAAGAGACAGTCGTATACAGGCTTGACAGGGTACAAGGTAGTGACGCCCCCTGGCTATATGTCTATTATTATACAGTCATTTACATTAAGAACATGGTCATTTCAATAAAATTCTGACCTATACAAGGAGTCTAAATGCTAAACATAGTGGAGTAACATTATCAAGCAGCTATTTTATTGCTGTTATAACACTTGTGCTCATGATGATATTCTGTTTTTCCCCATACACATTATTCAACACTTCAGGTACTGGTAAGTTTCCGATAGTTATACATTATACATAGTGGTTAGAGGGTGCAGTAGGATGAACGTCTACTAGGATTAGTGCTGTCACAAGTAGTTGTGTTAGTCTGAAGAAATTAGCTAGCTGTCAATCCTAGATTAAGTGTAGTCATTTTATAATTTGGTAGATACACGTTACATGGTAGCATACTGGCTGTTATTCCACTTATCTTAAAATTAACTGCCATGCTATTCAATATAACGGGCAACTGTTTGCAGTTTTTGCAGTATGGAATGTTGCTGCATGTTGGACTAACACAAGTGCTTTGACAACCCTATGAGTGGACCCCTTAGCATGCTCTACATGTATGCGTAACACTGTCACCTTGGCAAAGCTTTGGAGAAAGGAAAGGTACTTATGCACCTTTATTGTGCATTCTTTCTAAACCTACTATAAAGCATGAAGAAGTAATAACTTATATGCTGTAACTATCTAATCGACAACAAACTTGTTTCTGATGTAAGAAATCACTGAATTGAAAATGTAACTCATACCTATTCAAACGCATTAATTTAAAAGCTTTACATTTAACAGATTATGGATTATCATAAAGTAATAGCATTAATGATATCTTTGGCCACAAAAAGATTGGTTAGGACACCATAGATACATTGTCATCACTAGTGTAATTTCTGAGGATGCCTTAAAATGAAAATGTTTTATGTACAGTGTATTTATATCTAGTAACAATTCTTGTAAACACTTTTAGATCGGGAGTGGCACCAGGCAAACATCAAGGGGTTCTGGGAGAAGGGCACGTCAGCAGGCGGCTGTAGGAACAACATCAAGGCTTACGCTACAAACCCACAGTTCGCACTCAGAATACTGGAGCCAGGTAATGTGTACAACAAACCCACAGTTCGCACTCATAATACTGGAGCCAGGTAATGTGTACAAACCCACAGTTCGCACTCAGAATACTGGAGCCAGGTAATCACTGTGGACATCGTATGTAACGTTAGATTTCAAAATATTCTACCAACCTTTGTTACTAACAAGGCTATTACCCTCTCTTTAGTCTGTCTCAAAAGACTGTGACTGAACTGTGCAAAACATGATGGTACAGTTGTATGCCACTACAGTAGAAAAGTGGGGATATAAAGACTACACTACAAGGCCAATGTACCTAAACCCAATAATGAAGAAGTGTGCTTTATCATTTGGTATTTTCTTGAGCATATCAATTGACAAGTGGCAACCTATCAGATTCGACTCTCTATTCTTATCCAGGTTATGTGTGCAACAACCACCTCTCACACTGTTTGAACCTATTTGCATACCATTTGTAGTTAAATGTTGTTGTCAAGACTTCCCTGTCATAACTTTGTATACTCTGTTGTTATCAGATGAGTATGACCCAGAGATCGATCCACCAGAAGACAAGGGGAAGTGTAAGGTGGTGGTGGCCCTGATGCAGGAGCACAGGAGGTCACAGAGACACCTGGGGGTCAGGAACCTACAGATGGGGGTGCATGTCTACAAGGTAGGGTTAAAGATGCTGGGATTTTCTTCTTACACAGCCTCAGTGTGCAAGCACGTCTAACCATCAGGAGATGGGGAACAACAGACATTAAACTGGATAGTTTGGGTGAGTGAGTTAAAGCTGGTAATGTTGCACACCTGCTTACAGAGCTTCTGACTGGAGTGCTGCTTCTTTCTGCTTTATGTAGGCACGTATTTAACATGCGCTTGTGTAGCCAATGTAGGTAGTGGCGAGAAGCAGTACTCCAGTCAATAGCCTGAGGCGTACTGTACTCTCTAGTGCACTGGCATGTTATCACTTTATTTGACCAATTTCTACTCTTTCCAGCCACTTCCTGTAGCCAGTTGTTTGAATAACTGTTTTTTAGCGTATCTTATTACCTGGATGTCAAACCTTCATCGACGTATGTATGTTCATCTCAATTCCAGGCCGGCAATGACCCCCACGAACGCCTAAAACAGAAATACTTCATGTACCACCGCGACGTGGCGAGCTCCGGCTCGTACATCAACCTTCGGGAGGTGTTCCTCCGCGCTAACCTGGAGCCGGGAGACTACATCATCGTTCCCTCAACATTCGCCGCAGACGAACAGGGCTCTTTCCTCATCAGGATCTTCACAGAGAAGAACATCGAGGTCAAACCACTACGTAACCAGTTCAACATGTACTCCTACAACTGTTATGTACAGGATAAGTGGTAGAGTGAAGACTGAGAAATTCAATCTTTTCCTACAACTGGTGTGTACATGACAAGTGGTAGAAGAAAGACTCTTTTTAGTTATTAAACAAAGTTTTTTATTCAGCTGATTTTTCATCCAGCTGTTTATATTCTGGCTACTGGTAGATTGCGTTGCAAAATCCTTTGAACAAAAATGTTCACTGTAAGGAAATTAAGTTAAACATTGTATAGTGGGATGTGCGATAGGAGGAAAAACCTCTATGGTGCTTCAAATGCGAGGTATACTGCAATGCTTGCTGTTATACTGATATTAGGATAGAAAAAGAACTACCTTTAAGTGTGCGCAATGTCAAAATCACAAATTTGGAATGGAGGAAAAGAAAAGATTAAGACCACTTGCATTTGCCCAACAACATCAATAAATGTTAGGAAATTGTACCAGCAATGTCATCATATTTACATCTTCACAAATGTAATTAGATTGGGAAGAAAGCAGACAATACCTTTACTGTGGATTTGTAGACGATATATCGTAAGAATGAAATTGAAGGTGGATGTTACTGAATGTATGAGATGTGAACAGTAGTCAGTTGTTTCTATAGCCGATCTGTTTAGATGGTAGGGAGACTTTGGTGATACCATACAAGGTTTCTGAGAGTCGAGAAAAAGAAACTAGAAAGTCAAAGGATAACAGAGTTACCTGCACTGTTACATTTGGTGAGAGAGTTGTCTTAGTTTTCTTTTGAGCAGCAGCAGTTCTGAAACAGTATCTTACGTGAACATGTACAAAACTATCCATATGAGAAAAGGTATAAAAGGCCCACTATAAGCTTTGAAACTCACAGCCTATAAGGCCTTTGCTTTCAAATTCTGGCTATTTGCTTTTATAACCTTTAAGGTCAAAAACAGATTTATACTATAATAGATAGATCTAGATTGATATAGATGGCAGCTTCAATGCCTGAGTTGACTGAATATGACTGTTAGAAACCCAACAGATGCTCTTGATTATACAATTGATATAATGACAATTCTTGTCCCTTTATATCTTAAGTGTAAATAGTATATAATCCCATACATGTGAACCCTTAAGAATGTGGCAATAAAAAATGCATTATGCTTCACCTGTAAGAAAATAGCAAGTTGTAAAAAGCAGAAAAGGTGTTTTGGACAGACTTGAGGTGCATGTTCTTCTGATACCCTTATTCCTTAGCTACAGTATGACTGACATCACTTGTTGACAACTTTGGTGATATTATTGAAAGGTAATAAAGACAAAATGCCACGTCTGTTGGTTAAATGTTGTGCTTTCTTGTATATGTGTGAATTAAACATATTGAGTGACCAGACTTTGCAGGGCTTAGCTATAATTACCTCCCTAACTGGCTGATCACTGGGAATGCTGATACTGTAAGAGATACTTTGGCAAAGTCCAATGACATTATTTATACATGTATATGTATCAGGTACATATTGCACTTGTCTTGTCTTAAATAAAAGCAACTTCACATACTAGAAATATCACATTGCACAATGTGTTTGGCAACTAATTGCATATGATGTACAAGTACATGTACATGTACACGTAGTTCACTGAGGTTAAATTTGTTGTCTATTGTATAAAAAGCACCACATACATTGTAACAGGCTTTCTGACTGAAACATTTGTGGCAAGGGCTTCCAAACTCTGAATTATTGGCTGATGACCTCTCCCCTAAGTGACAGAATGATCAACATGGCAATAGTGGTTAGTGTGATGGTATTTAAATGTTTGAATGGCCTGACTCCAACTTACCTATCTTCTACTTTCTGCCATAATTATCATTTTCATACTTATAACACAAGACAGACTACTAAGCTACATGTACATTTACCAAATTACACTAGCACAGCAGGTCAGCGAACATTTGCTTACACAGGTACAAGTTCTTTCAACAAACTTCCGGCAGACATAAGACAGATCCCAACCCTGAAACGCTTCAAGGCAGCTGTTAAACAGACCTCTGACCTCCACTGATTTATTGATTTGTATATTTTTGTTCAGTTGTTTATATGTTTATATATGTTTACTTTTCAGTTATACTGATTTTCAGTTATACTGATTTCTGTTAACTTTTGTTACTTGATTGTATAATTTACTTTTATACAATTTGCTTTATGTTTATGTTATGTTATATTTGTTTGTGACCCTGGGCCCTCTTGGAAATCAGCAATCTTATGTTGTAGAGGCTACCCAGGAGTTTATAAGATGAAATAAATAAATAAAATAAATAAATAGTGGTCATGTGGAGGAAGAAGACTACATCTCTCACAGTGGAATTTCAATTGCCACCAACTGACTCATCTGAGGTTCCAGACCTTTTGGACTAGCGGTTAGTGCATTGTGTTTGTAATCTGGCTGCCTGACATGGGTTTGGAATCGATGCAGGTTTGATTCCTGATGTCCCGGGAGCCAGGCTGGATAGTACATTTTTGTACTTGCCTCTTGTTTCAACGTGGCAGCACTCAATCAAAGGCAACAGAAAGGACAAACTTCCCTTCACAGTTTGGCTCGTAAGTGGAAGGCACAACGACATAGCACCCAGATGGCAGAACCAACTGTTTGGACATCCTGGTCAGATACTGGTGAGGCACACAGTTCCCCACGTCTGCCTTCTTAAAGAACTCTCTGTCTGTGATTCTTTCACACTTCTCAACCTGAAAACAAAGAGATAACAGACTCAGTACCTAAGCAACTACAGGTAAGCATTATAAGATTAAAACTAGAAAGGTAGTTTTGCATAGCAAATGCATAATATTTACCTTCACATGGTCTAGCCTAAAAAACTACTGCTCTGTTAATTGTTACTCAAACACATTCATATATAATATATAGTGAGCAGCCCCTACAGCCCTTTCCTGCTACATAATGTAACCCTACACCACAGGGTGTCTGCTACATGACCAGTTACCATGGTTACAGCCGTCTGGTCCAGGTCATTGACTTGACTTGACTTACCTTATAGACATGGAAAGCAGCAGCATGGCACATATATGGTAAGTTTGGCTGTTTCTCCTGTAGTAGTGTGATTGTTACAGTTCTGCCATTTTCATTCCCTGTAATATGCAAAGAAAACAATGTTTACTTTTGTCATACATTGTGCACAGTAACTTGTACTTCTTTGTCAATACAAAGGACTACATGTACATATCTACACATGTAGCAAATTCTTCCTTCCTTTGTATCATGACATGAGTACTATTCCTCAATAACAGTGGAAAACAATTTGGTTGACTTTCAGCACCAAGGACAGTACCTGCTAAGTTCATGCAACAATGTCTATTATAACAGATTGAGCCAGTGTTGATGTCACACTTCAAAGAAGCCACATAACAAGTATTATAGTGGGTCAGTCTGCTGAAGAAGACCAGAGTGACTGGTCAAAAGCTCTAGGTAAGAATAATCTCTTGTGTTCTACATTATTTACTTGAAACAATGACAGACAGTGCAAAAATGTATGTCACCTGCAGGAACACAGAAGAAGTACTGAGGGTTGGTGTAGAAGTTCCTGTAGTTCCTGCAGCCTCCTGCATTCACTCCCACCTCCCACTGGCCGGGGAAGGTCAGGGCGTGTCCTGGCAGGCGGGGCAGACCTGGGGCGTGGCTGTTACCTAGCAACGTGGACGGGAGATCCCTGAAGTGTGCAGAAGGTGTAGAGTTGGATGCATTGTTTGATACGGTGTAGTATTGAAAGACATAATTTCTGAGTACAAGCAAACGCTGCAACAACTTGAAGAAAATGTTCTGGATAAGTCAAGATTGCAATGTTACAAAACCAATGGCAACAAGGCTTAAGAGAAGACCATTTCCAATACAAGTACAGTGTACTTAACATGGTTTATAATACATATAATCATTGCTACAAAGCATGATAAATTTTCAGAAGGCAGTTGTTGGATAGTTGTAGCTATCAATTATGTGGCTTTGTCTTGTCCATCATTACAACTCAGACACAACAATGTTTCCTGTAATGAAAGTTCAGATGTTACATGTCCCCTGAGGAAGACCAGAGTGACTGGTCGAAAGCTCTAGGTAAGAAAAATTCTTTGTCTTGGAAAAAAGTTTAAATTTAAGCAATGTTTCCCCATCACTTTTACTCCTTTCACCTTTACTAACCTGAGTTCAAATGGCCACAATGAGAAAACTCTCAACAGAAACCCTTTTCCGACATCAGGTTGGAAAGTGTTGGGTATAATGATGTAAGCTCCGGGCTTCAGTAGGCAGGTTAGGGTCACCTCTCTGGCATGGGCATGGGGAGGGGTTGTCATGGCAATGGGTTCAGCCTTGATGAAGTCTGCAGCAGCCAATCTAGTGGGCGTGTCTTCAGCCTTGAAAGGGAGATTGAGAGAGGGAGATTTAAAGAAAGAGATTAAGAGAGAGAGATTAAGAGGGATTGAAAGAGATTGAGAGAGGGATTGAGAGAGATGGGGATTGAGATTGAGAGATATTGTGAGGGATTAAGAGGGATTAAAAGAGGTTGAAAGAGATTGAGAGAGAGAGAAGACAGTTAATGTGGACAACATCAGTGTAAATGGATTTGTGTCTGTGTAAATAAGATCATGTTTTCAGCAATTTGTCACTTCCACAAGATTTGGTGAAGTTCAAGGTTAATCCACAAGATATGGAGTTTTTAGCTGATGAAGAAGTGGCTTATAAACATAATTTTTTACAAAAGTCTTCTTACTACTGTACATCTGTACAATAGATCACATCATAGTTTTGCAGTTTAGCAATGCTATGACAGAGGGAGCTTTTTGCACAACATAATCACATCCCCTTCAGTAACCTGTATCATAACTAACCTGCCAGACGTGCATCCCGATAGCTTTTTCCTGCAGTTTCCAAGCCGGCTGGAGTCTGTTAGTCCTCTGCATCAAGGCCAGCAGTACAAAACAGTCCTGGTCACCACTGTTGCTTCCATGGTTTTCAGGAGAAGCTACATAGACACAAATTTAACCATTTAAACCATACCTTACATTAAACATTTAACTTTTTCCTGGCTGTGTGAAATTCTGTTCTTTTACTTGAGTTCTGGTATAAAATCGATTCAAATTCAAATGTCACTGCCGGTGGAAACTTTGAAAAAGATCAGTCACCTTGGATGCTGAGCAGGTACTGAGGGTTTGTGGGATAGGTCTCCAAGTTGTTACGGCAACCACCTGCAGACACGCCCACTTCCCAGCATCCCTCTGTGTTATCCTCGTGCCATTTCACTGGATTAGCAAGTCAAGGATTCACAACAATTTTGAAACATTAAGTCATAACAATTCACTTTCAGAGGAACAATAAAAACAACTAGAAAGATGTAAAAAGTTTGAATGAAAGCTTGTGCTGTTCGAATCAATAGCTGTAGAGTTTAAGCTTTCCTCCAACACAAGAGAAAAGGAACTCAACAATTTTCTGGAAGCCGGAGGGGTGATGATGTCAGGAGTGGTAGATTCTGTCTGCCCGCCACTTTTGATTCACTCCTGACATCATCACGCTTCCAGCTTTTGGAAAGTAGCTGGCGAGTTCCTTTCTTGTGTTGTAACAAAGCTTGAACTCTACAACAAGTTGTTTGCTTACTGATTCACATGAAAAAATCTAATTCTAACTTCTCTTCAATTATATAAGGGAATGATATTCTTTTCTCTGGATACCCCATTAATCACAAAGTCTGACAATTATGTGCCACTTACGACAGCTATCCATGTTGTTCCCATGGCAATTGGAAGTGAGGTCAAAGAGCTGCAGGTCAGGAACAGGAGAGGCGACGGTGACCTCATGGAACTCCTGACAGAAGTCAGCAAATTTCATCCTGAAAAACTTCTGGTGGTTAGACAACTGTAGATCATGATAATGTGATTCATAACAACGTTGATAGATAATTCCATTAAAAACACATTTGACTAGTTGTTCTGATAAATATTGGATTTTTATGGCAAGTTTTTGGCAATATTTTGAATCAAGGTGGCAGCTTTCTAAGGACTTTCAGACCTTTGTACACTTTGAAGATTACCAAATCTGATAGAAGACAATTTCTTTTAGGAATCCATACTAATTATGTTTCATTATCAAATCATCGACATTTGCTACTAACAATATTTATGACTTTGTCCACGGCATGTTTTTGCACCAGTGATTACAGTGAAACACCTTTTTGTCTGTTGAAATGTCAGAGTACAAGACTTAAGGTCATAAGTGCAGCACGTGGGCCCTAGGGTAAAACTAATTGTAAGGCCATTGTTCTGTGGCCTGAGAAAGGGTGAAACGTACATCAACAAACTTCAGGGAAGCAAACTTTTGCTATACCGGTAAGTTACACTTTTAACAACTGGCTCAGAAAATTACTTTTGCTGTTGTTCAGTAAAACAGATGACCTTCAACACTTCTGAACTATTTGTTTTCGTCCTTAAACTATTTCATGGTCATGTTTTAGTAGCGTGCGTAGTCCAGTGGTTAGCGATCCTGCCTCTGGACTAAGAGGTTGGGAGTTCGAATCCCGGCTGTTGTCCCTCACCAGACATGCACACTACTGTTTAGGGTCACAGTCCTTATGACGGGACGTTAAGCCGTGGTCCACTGTTCATTACGCTTGTCAAAAAGAGCTAGGGAAATTTCCCTGGTACAATGAACCTGTAAATACTGTACATAGCATCCGTCTTCTCTGTCACGACCAGTGGGAGATTAGCTCTTCAGTGAGCTAAAACTAGATCGAGATCCCTTTCACTTTCTTTTCACGCGTCACTTCTGTACCATAAACTTCTTGTTACCAGTAGCAAGTCATTCGTCTTTTGCCCCCGCCCCCTACAATGAATATAATGTAGTTCTGTGAACACCTCCATTTTTCTCAGACCGTGACATTTTACTGCTGTGAACATACATGTAAATTGAATTACAGTACTCAAAACTGTTGCAGAACTTGATAAAGTGATTACGCATATGGCACAATCAACTTACATGAACAGTGAGTATTACCTGATTCAATCAGTATTGATTCAGTTTATCGTTACCAATTATCGGACAGTGAATTTCTTTATAAACACGACAGAAGGATGATCACTAGCATTATCCACTTAAGGCCTGCTGCAAAAGCACAGCAAACAGGTGAGTGCAATATTTCTGAAAATAGTTTCATCAGAGTGGAACTCGCTGTCACCAAGTACAGTAGGGGCATTATCATTAGATAGCTTTAAACAATGTCTAGAATTAGATGTTCAAGGGTTAGGTGTAACTAGTCGATCGGTGTAATGTAGCCAGCTGCTGCCGCGCCGCGTGCCTGTGAAGCTGGTGTGTTACGCCGAAAGGCGGTTATACCGGATATACAGACACAGATCAGGTTGGTATAGTATAGGATATTGGGGTTTTTCGTACACAACCGAACTATTCCTACCTTGTTTAGGTTTTGGTGTCTATCAGACAAGCTTCTTCAAAGCTTCTGACTGTGTGTGTGAGTGTGTGTGTCTGACAGTGTGTGTTTTGTCACAAGTTGCTCCAGGTCAGCATACCAGCAAAAGACTTGATCTCTTGAGCACTTAGAGGGATTTAAACAAACTGTGTGGGAGACTAGTAAAAAATGTCTTACATTCTGTGCAAGAACTAATTTCTCTGACGACACCTGTTTTTGACTGACCAAAACACTGTCTGTCCTGTTGATATCACACTACTGTCTCACCTGGAGTGTGTGGTTGTTTGTCCTCCCCAGGGGTTGTGTAGACTCAGCCAGACATCTTCCTTTGAATCTTCTGGTCCCTGAACAATAAAGAAAATGTAATGTTTAATTAAGCAGTATTTGTACATTGTGTCAGATATTGTTGCCTCTACCAAATGAAGAGGTTATGTCACTACGGGTTACGGCTTGAAGAGGATGTGAGTGCACATTGAGTGGTCCAGAGCAAGCAATAATTATCCCACTCACAGCTTAAATCAAAGTATCATACATTGTAATTATTTAGTCATAAAGGTCTTGAATCTGCATGGGAAATGCCTCTTTCCATAGGCAATACTTTTTGCAAGAAAACAAATTTTAAACTTTGAATTTAGCCTTCAAAATGTTTTAAAATGTGTTTAAAACTTCCTGAGGCACTTCTGAATGGAGAGCTTTAGAGAGCACTTATCTGTGGAGAGCTGTTGAGAGTTTTTATGCATTTTATGTCTGATGTTACGTTGATGAAGGTTAGACATCCGATATGCCAAAAAGCAGTTACTCAAGCAACTGGATGTGATTTTGGAAACGGTCAGACGTTTCAGCTAGTATCCACTAGCTTTTGTCAGTGACTGAGAGACCAGAGGAGCAATGCAGGTTTAAAGGCACTAACTACTGATTGATATGTCTGAAGTTACCTGTTGAACTGAGGTAATGTTGTAGGCATGTGGTTGACACAAATCCTCTTCCTCACATGGGCTGGGCTCTCTGACAGGATGCTGCATAGACAAGACATACTAACGTCAGGTAAAAGTTAAAAGGACAGGAAGTTTTGGTCAGGGATTTCACACCTACAAAATTTAACCCTTGTCCTGCCGACATTTTTTACACAATATTTTTCAATAATTTTATGTCTTAATCAGGTCATAGACCCTTGACTTTTTTTTGCCCTGCAGTGGTGTTTCGCATTCGTTGCGTTTCGCTGCGGTGTGATGTGTTGCACGAGAAACACTGCCAAATTGTACCTACATTTGTATACAAGTTGCTATATGGATGGTACTGTATGTGCAAAACAACAATTGTAGGGCTCCACAGGACAAGGGTTTTAAGAAGCTGCTATTAATTTTGGGTAGTTTCAGTGCTCCACAAACCTGAAGACATAAACTTGAAGTCCAAAGAGCCTTTTCAATCAACAATCTACTTTCTGCTATTAGCCAAGCCTCACCTACATAGTTTATTAGTGAATCCATTGTTAAGTTACTACAGCTTAACAGGTGTGACATGGTTTCTAATGAGTCTCTGCAGACTTGACATTTGAACTATGACACTGTCACTACACACTGTGTATGTCACAGCAACTTGTCTGACAGGATACTCATCATTGTAAACTTGATAGTGAGTGTGAGTGAGTGTAAACTTGATCAGTCAGTGGTTGTTACATTACCTTCAGTCAACAAACAACTTACAGGTACATGTAATACTATTCAATTGTATAACTGTACGAATGAGTGCTGTACAATAGTCTAAATCATAGGCTATTGAGACTGCTTAGCCAAGCATTAAGTAAGCTTTACACGTTACGTTGCACTTCACTTGTAAACTGTTCTGGCTTCCAGGAATTGAACCCAGGCTACAAGCTTGAGTGCTCAATGTACAAACTGCTAGTCTAGTAAAAGGTCCAGACCTATTAGACAGGTCAGTTGGTGGTGCTTGAACCCTGACTGTTACAATAAACTGTACCTAATTGTGCTGTAAGTGTTAATCGAATGTAATGGAAAAAGTCTTTCAAACAAAACTTCTTAGGGTCTAAAACACATGGGTGCTGGTGCGTTAGACCAAATTCAAGGGCGGTTATACCAGCTATACAGATACAGAAGCTGGTGTGTTACGCGGAAGGGTGGTTATACTGGCTATACAGATACAGAAGCTGGTGTGTTACACCAAAGGGCAGTTATATCAGCTATACAGACTGATACAGAAAAAAAGCTGGTAAAGTAGCTTAATTGACCTGAGAATATGTACCAACAGATTTGAAAAGAATGACTTTGAATGCTTTCTTTCAGGTCACGTACATGTGTAAGGTCAAGCAAGGGTGATCACACAGCAGCAACATTGGCGACAAGATTCAAAAGAAAAGTTAGTAAGCCATGGGCAGTGACGGTGCAGTTGGCTGGAAACAGATCACTGTGGTGTTCTGTGTGCTGGTGGCTCTACTGTTTGTGGGAGCCGGCATCTTCAAGGTGCTTGAGGAAAGTTTCTTCGATCCAGGAGAGCCGCCGGAAAGAGTCCACGATGTTGAGGACACCGTGGCGGAGTTTGTGAGGAATCACAGCGACGTGACACAACATGACGTACATGAACTCATGAGAAGGATCGACATAGCAAGGCATGGATACAGTCTCATGGACAAAATTAATGGTGAGTTACAGTACTAGTGCATGTACATACATGAACATGTAATATATACACTTAGTCTAATTTTCTAGTCTCCAATATAAGCTATTGAGAATGATAGACATAGCAAGGCATGGATACAGATAAGGATGGGCTCTGCCTTCCAATACTTTGCCCTAGACACAGTGGACTAACAAACCACTGCCGCCACAGCCTCAAAAAGGCTATGGGACTACCTTTAGCTTAGATCACTATTCTTGAATATGAACATCACATCACATTACATTATTATGTCAATATGTTTCCCTGTTTCATTTTCAGAGTTGACTGAGAATAAAACCAGATCCTACCACCTGGACTACATGGAGTCATGGTACTTCTGCATGACGATCGTCACCACCATTGGATATGGACATATGAAGCCTTTCACAGATGCTGGAAAGGTATATATATGCTTGTCTAACAAACATCTAACATTATTTTTGTATGTATGAATGTGTACGAAATGCTAATACCCTCAACCTTTACCTGGGCTTTCACAGATTTTTTTCATAAGGCCACACTGACTTAAATGTAAGGATCATTCTAATAACTAGAAATTTAAAAAAAAAGATGAATAAATTTGAAATTTGAAGTGAAAGCGCAATCTTGCCCAACCCAAGCCTTACCCAATCTGACTATTGCCCAACCCAACCATAGCTCAACTGAATCTTAATTTGCCCAACCCAAGAAGAGTTGGGTTAGGTTGGGTTGGGTTAGGTTGGGTTGGGTTTGGCGAAGATTAATTGGGATCCCAACATTGACAGCATACCAGTGCATTGAACTGTGATGCTCTTGAATAATATAATATTTAAACAAATAAAATAAAATAAAATTATTTGACCACCGCCTTGGCTTAAGTCTTTTTGGATGGCAGACAAATGATAAATAGTCAGATTAACAATTATATTAATATCTTCTTTTGACAAATATTTATACCAAAACACACAACTAAAGTTCAGCCACACTGGGGAGCTTTCGAGACGCACTCTGTCTCCTCTTCAACCCAGTTAAGATCTCGTCTTGGAGTTCTCTTGTCAAGTGACTTGATTGGATAATCATGTGTTATCTTCAATTTCTTCCACTTAATTGCTGTTACCTAATAATTTCTAAGACTTTTACATGATAATTTTGATATTTTGGTTGCATCTATGTTTATTTGTTTATTTTGATTTTCCACAAAGTGAAAAGAAGGTCAAAACAGGTGCATACGCACCTTTACAAGTTGCCCTCCCCCATACAAAAATGCATAATACAACATCAAAATTTACACAGTCAATGACAACAAGTATAAAAATACACAGAATAGGCAATATAACCTATGGTGATATGTTTTACAGATTTTCTGTAGCATCTATGCGCTGATTGGTATTCCTGCATGGATCATCCTCCTCACACTTGTTGGTGCACAGTTGAACGATTCAATCAGGTATGATGTTGAAAATAACATTTTGCATGGTACATTATAGCCTTAAAAGCAACTGTTACTCTGTACTGTAAGGGCCCTGAATAACAAAATGCAAACAAAAAAGCAGGTGGTTTGCAACCATTTAAAAATTAGAAAATATGTGAAATAAAACATGGATGGGGAAGGGAAATCATAACTGCTATCTAAGTTGTCTAAAGTTAAGACTTTTGTTCCAAAGAATTGTTCTCACATAGAGCTTTCAACCAGTCACTCTGGTCGTCCTCAATAAACTTGTCACATGGTTTCTCTGAAGTGACTGGTCAAAAGATCTAAGTGAGAACAATTATTTGTGTTGGAACATAGGTTTTAACTTAAAACATGTAACTACCAAATTTAATAATATAATATACAGATGAACTTTCATAACTACTATCTTGCATGACTTGTAGTTTTTTTAACAACTTTTAAAACTGTGTTGAAGAGGCTACTAAGTAGCTGACTGTCCCTTTTTGCACAGGTGGATAGAGAAACGTGTTTGGGAGCTCCTGGCCAGAGCAACTGGTCAAGGACTTGCCAAGATTCCAAAGAAGACAAAGATTCCAAGGAAATATCAAGCACCAGGGCTGGCCTTAGCACTGGTCATCATGATCTCTTTATTTTTCCTCCTTCCTGCACTAATCTTCCATAAAGGTACGTTTGTGTCTCTCATACTTTTAACACAAAAAATGTCCAGACTATGCATGCATGATGGACAATAAACTAAATTAAAAATACTAGTAAACTGGTGGACCTCCCAACTACTAAGTACCTAATACCAGCCCAGAAGAGAACAAGAAATAGCCATTCCCTTCAAGTACCAGAGATATCAACCAAAAGATTGAGGTTTTCAAGAATCCATTCTTTCCTAAAACTTAATCGCAGAGTGGAACTCGCTGTCACCCAGTACAGAAGGGGCATTATCATTAGATAGCTTTAAACAATGTCTAGAGTTATAAGTTAAAGGGTTGGGTGTAACAAGTTGATCGGTGTAATGAAGCCAGCTGCCGCCGAGCCGCGTGCCTGCGAAGCTGGTGTGTAACGCCGAAAGGCGGTTATACCGGGTATACAGATACAGTTCAAAACATTGTCATTGTCGTCTTGAAATCTCTATACTATAGAGTCAACTGATTGACTGAAACCAAGGACCTCCATTTAAATCTCCTTACTGAAAAAAAACAGTCCATGTATTTCTAGGTACTGTAAATTCTATAATCATATTATATTGATACTACTGTCAATGAGGTTAGAATCTAAAATCTAAGCAGTGTAATATTTGCATTATATTAGCTGCTACCATTGAGCTGAATTAAATTGAAGGCGTGTGTGTTTCTCTACCCTTTTCTTCTAGTTGAGGCCTGGACATACCTGGATGCTATCTACTTCTGTGTTATCACCCTGACCACAGTGGGGTTTGGAGACCTAGTTCCTGCTCTACCAAAAGAAAACATGCATACAGCAGCTAATGTTGTTTATAAGGTACATTAACTGTTGTCTTAAAAGTTTTATATGAGAAATGTTGTCTGCGACTTCTGTGCTAGATATGCTACAACTTAGCCTGTGTTAGTGAGCATTTAAGGATAACAAAATTCATCGATTTTTTTATGAATACAATAAGGCTCTAGTTTTAAGTTAGAACTCTCTATGACTTGACAGTTATATATGTAGAAGTCCATGATATACAGGAAAACATTTTCTGTTTATTGAGCAAGAACATTTAAGACTATTAAGTCTTAAAAGTTGTCTAAGCTTGATGTTACGGAGAAGAGATGCTGCTACAGTGAATGCTAATGTTTGAAGTTCTCCTCTCCCCCAGATTTTGGTGTTTTAGAGCTCAGGAAGGATGAGAGAAGAGAGAAGAGCTATGCAGAAAAACATGACCTGTTGGACTTTGAATGTATTTAATTTGAGGTTGGACCAATGTTTCTCCTTCCCCCTCCCCCAGATTTCAGTGTTCTTGTGGATCACCGTGGGGCTGGCCTTCCTTGCCGGCTCGCTCGAGAGAATTGGGACAGCTCTGAAGCTTCTGGGAGAGAAGGTGACAGACATGGATCTAGATCCCGCCGAGAACACGTCAGACGCACCCGAAGACAACGTAATCGATGGTGAAACAGACGAGAAAGACCACGCAGAGATTGACTATTCACGCAGAGCGGGGCACAAAAATGGCGCGAGCAACGTCGGGAATGGCAGAAAGTCATCAAGGGATGAAAAGCTAGGGATCAATCCCCGGAAACAAGCAAACTTGGAAGAAAATGAACATTACAATCTGTTGAGAGAATCTACTCTGTGATGACCTATTCAAATCAATGATCATAGAATTATAAGCTCCTGGATCAATTCATGTTGAATATCAATATCATGATAGTTATCACAATAGCAGCAACATTTTGTCCTAATGCCTTGCCAATACAACTTTGAGGAGGTACCAGCTTGTGCAATTATAGTACCAGAAAGGTGACATTTGCAAAGCAAATGCATAATGTTTACCTTTGCATATGGTCTGCTCTGTTAATTCTTACTCAAATACATTCATATACATGGTCAGACAGGAGTACAAATCCCTCCTACTATAAAATTGCAACATGATGTAACCCAATATATCAGTTACTATGGTGAGAGATGTCAAGAAATTAGGTCATTGACCAGGTCAGAGGTCTGTGTTTGAAGAAGAAGAAGAGGCAAAAACAATATGTTTTCCTTCAGTAAACATAGTCAAATTGGTTGATCCTGTAAATAAATAAAGAAGTGATGGTGTGCTAAATACAGCAAAGCATTCAGATCACGAGTTTCATGCATGAACTCATGACTTGAACTTTCTTCCCAAGAAGAAACTTACCATCTAACAGTGTTATGCAGTCTGTATTAAAGGACTAAATGTAGTATACTTGCATAATTATACAGTGCAAATTGTTAAGAAGTGACAGATACATTAAGGAAATTGTTAAGCAACTGGTGTCTATTGTAAAATAGAATATTCTGCAGTTTCCTTGTTCTCTGTCTTGTCTTGTCGCCATGCTTATTTTTGTACAAGAAGGACACTTATCTAAGAAGAACATGTTTCTTCAGTCCATTGGGTAGTTGTCTCAACAAGTTTGACAGTCACTGTGACTGTATTTCAAAGTGTGCAAAGCTTACATGTAGGACTATCCTTGTTAGCCTCAACAACAATGTACAGTTGTTGTACCTGTGAGGTTTATGTAATATTTGGGGTGTAACAGTGGGGGGTTTATAGGCGCTACCAGCTGACCCGGCCAATGGGTCTAAACCTTTTCGCCCGAGTGGTTAGAAGCTGGTGCTCGGGAGGTCCTGGGTTCGAACCCCGGCCCGGGACCAGGAGGGTTTTTATCTGTTTCTACTAGCGCCACCTGTTTCTTACAAAGTTGTTGAATGTAGTTGTGAGTTTTACATTGTATAACTACACAGACGTGAGCACATACGTCACAAAAAACTTGTCAGACAGGATGGTAAGCTTAATTATAAGGCAGTGATTGTTGACTGTCTTTCAGACTACATCATCAGACAACAACAGGTAAAGGTATTCATATTTTTATGTATGTATGTACAATGTTTATAAGACTACAATATGGGCTCAATCACATATACAGGCTACTAGTATTAGTTTTTTAGCATGAGTCTTTGGGAAACTTAAGTTTATAGTTTATAAATGAACCTAGCATGATGAATCTCAGAATGGCAGTCTGCCAGATGACTGGACAGCATGGCACAGTACTGTTGCCAATTACATGTATGTAAAATTTTCCTAAGGAAGACTACAGTATGGG